GCCCCCTCCATCTTGATCATGGCTGAAAGCGGGCAAAAACACCCCAGAATGGTTAAAATGTGCAAAAACCGGGAAAAACAGACAGAAAATGGGAAAACAGCCCCAAAAATAGGGTAAAACCCCCCAGAAATGGGGCAGGAGCGCTCCGAGCCCCCTCTGGCTCCGATCATGCACTTATGGGGGCTCTCGGGGAGGATTTTGGGGCTCTCAGGGAAGGTTTTGTGGCCTCAGGGTCTGTTTTGTGCTCTCAGGGATGATTTTGTGGCCTCAGGTAAAATTTTGGGGCCTCAGGGAAGGTTTTGGGGCCTCAGTGAAGATTTTATGCTCTCAGGGAAGGTTTTGTGCTCTCAGGGAAGGTTTTGTGGCCTCAGGGAAGGTTTTGGGGCCTCAGGGAAGGTTTTGGGGCCTCAGGGCCTGTTTTGCGCTCTCAGGGAAGATTCTGTGGCCTCAGGGGAGGATTTTATGCTCTCATGGAAGGTTTTGTGGCCACAGGGGAGGATTTTGGGGCCTCAGGGTCTGTTTTGTGCTCTCAGGGAAGATTTTGGGGCCTCAGGGGATGATTTTGGGGCCTCAGGGAAGATTCTGTGGCCTGAGGGGAGGATTTTGGGGCCTCAGGGAAGGTTTTGTGACCTCAGGGGATGATTTTGTGGCCCCAGGGGAGGATTTTGTGGCCTCAGGGGATGATTCTGGGGCCTCAGGGAAGGTTTTGTGCTCTCAAGGAAGGTTCTGTGGCCTCAGGGAAGGTTTTGTGGCCTCAAGGAAGGTTTTGTGGCCTCAAGGAAGGTTTTGTGGCCTCATGCCCTGCTTTTCCCAGTCCCCCCACACCCCCTCTTTCCCGAGCCCCCATTTTTTGGGGGGTGTCCCACCCACCTGCATCGAGGGTCTTGACGATCTGGGGGCCCTGTCGATGTCGAGCAGGAGGTTTTCGAACCAGCCGTGCTCGGACAGGTACAGGAACACCCCCAGGCGGTTCCTCAGTGCCGCCTGGGCCTCCTGCCGGCGCCTGGCCCGCCTCGTCGGGGTGGTACTTGGAGCGGAACCTGGGGGAAAATGGGTATTGGGGGGAACAGAGGGGTCACTGTGAGATTTGGGGGGATTTGGGGGTTTCAGTGGGAGTTTGGGGGATTTCAGGGGATATGGGGGGGTAGCGGGGACCCCGGCCTCGTCGGGGTGGTACTTGGAGCGGAACCTGAGGGGAAAATGGGCATTGGGGGGAACAGGGGGTTTGAGGGGGGTTACAGTGGGGTTTGGGAAGGTTACAGTGAGATTTGGGGGATTTGGGGGGTTTCAGTGGGACTTTGGGGGATTTCAGGGGATATGGGAGGTAATAGGGCCCCCGGCCTCATCAGGGTGGTACTTGGAGCGGAACCTGAGGGAAAATCAGCAGTGGGGGGAACAGGGGGTTTCAGTGGGATTTGGGGGCATTTGGGGGTTCAGTGGGAGTTTGGGGGGTTACAGGGCTAATGGAGGGGGTAATGCAGCCCCCGGCCTTGTCAGGGTGGTACTTGGAGTGGAACCTGAGGGAAATCAGCAGTGGGGGAAACAGGGGGTCACTGTGAGATTTGGGAGGTTACAGTGGGATTTAGGGGGTTTCAGTGGGAGTTTGGGGGGTTTCAGTGGGATTTGCGGGGTTACAGGGGATATGGAGGGGTAGCAGGGCCCCTCGGCCTCGTCAGGGTGGTACTTGGAGCGGAACCTGAGGGGAAATCGGGCATTGGGGGGAACAGGGGGTTTGGGGGTTAGAGTGGGATTTGGGGCCCTCTGGGCTATTGTGGGGGTCCTCTGGTTTTTGAGGTGTTTCAGGGGTATCTTGGGGTGTTTCAGGATGTTTGGGGGGTGTCCTAGGGTGTTACTGGGCTGTCCCAGTGATGTTCTTAGGATGCTTTAAAAGTATTTTGGGGTGTTTCTGGGGTATTCTGGGGTGTTTTAGGGGTATTTTGGGGTGTCCCAGGAGTGTCCCGAGGTGTTCATACATACTCTTGCCTAGAGGTATTTTAGAGTATTTCTGGGGTATTCTAGGGGATATTTTGGGGTGTTTTAGGGGTATTTTGGGGTGCTCTGGGGGTATTTTAGGGTGTTTGGGGGGTATTTTGGGGTGTCCCAGGGGTGTCCCGGGGTGTTCATACATACTCTTGGCTAGGGGTATTTTGGGATATTTCTGGGGTGTTTCTGGGGTATTTTGGGGTATTCTGGGGTGTTTTAGGGGTATTTTGGGGTGTCCCAGGGGTGTCCCGGGGTGTTCATACATACTCTTGCCTAGGGGTATTTTAGGGTTTTTCTGGGGTATTCTGGGGATATTTTGGGGGTGGTTTTGGGGTGTCCCAGGGTGTCCCGGGGTGTTCTATACATACTCTTGGCTAGAGGTATTTTGGGGGTATTTTAGGGGTATTTTGGGGTATTTCTGGGGTATTTTGGGGTGTTTTAAGGGTGTCCCAGGGGTGTCCCGGGTGTTCATACATACTCTTGGCTAAGGGTGTTTTGGGGTAATTTTAGGGTGTTTCTGGGGTGCTCTGGGGGAGTATTTTAGGGTGGTTTTGGGGTGTCCCGGGGTGTTCATACATACTCTTGGCTGGGGGTATTTGGGGGTATTTTTAGGGGTATTTTGGGGTGTTTTTGGGGTGTTTGGGGTGTTTTAGGGTATTTTGGGGTGTTTCAGGGTATTTTGGGGTGTCCTAGGGGTGTCCCGGGGTGTTCATACATACTCTTGGCGCCGGCGTCGCCGTCGAGGCCCCGGGAGTTGGGGGCGAGGGGAGGTTGGGGGTGGTGGGGGTGGGGAGGGGCGGCTCAAGCACCGACCCCCGGCCCCAAAACCGGCCGGTTCTCACCGAAACCCCCATCCCCAAAAAAAAACCACCAAAAAAAAACCACACACCCACCACACGCCGGGGAAAAGGAGGGTGGGGGATTGGAGGGGGCACAAAAGCCCCTTTTCCCCCAAAAACAAAAATAAAACAACAAAGGTCCCTGGCTGAGTCCTGCACTGGCCGCTATCGCCGCGTTGTAGCGGCCCCGCCCTGCCTGCCTGCCCGCCGGGGTGTGGGCTGGGGAGCCCCAAATCCCCTAAACACCCCCCTTCTGCTCTCCAGGGGGGGCTTTTCCCGGGTCCGGAGGGCGCTTTGGGAGGGGAGAGAAGGGAAGCGTTAACGCGGCACGCGGAGAACGAGCCCCTCCACGCCCACCACCCCAAAAATGACCCTCCCCCAAAAATGACCCCCTCCCCAAAAATGACCCCTCCCCCAAAAATGACCCCCTCTCCTCCTCCCCAGGAAATTCACTGGGAGGGGTTTCTAAAGGGGGTGGTTTTGCTCCCACCCCTCCCTCCCGAACCTCCCCCCCACCCCAAAATGGGACTGGATGGGCTGGGAATGACACCACAGAACCCTCCCCAACAAGGGATTTAGGGAGTTCTGGGGATGGGTCTAGAGGGAACTTTTGGGGCAGTTTGGGGTGGTTTTGGGGTCGGGTTTAGGTCAGTCTGGATTGGTTTCAAGTCAGTCTGGGGCAGTTTTGGGTCAGTCTGGGGTGGTTTGGGGCAGTTTGGGGTAGTTTTGGGTCAGCTTGAGGCAGTTTTGGGTCAGTCTGTGTCAGTTTTAGGTCAGTCTGGATCAGTTTTAGGTCAGTTTGGGGTAGTTTTGGGTCAGTGTGGGGCAGTTTTGGGGCAGTCTGGGTCAGTTTGGGGCAGTCTGGGTCAGTCCGGATCAGTTTTAGGTTAGTCTGGATCAGTTTTAGGTCAGTCTAGGGTGGTTTTGGGGCAGTCTGGGGCAGTTTTGGGTCAGTTTGGGGCAGTTTTGGGTCAGTCTGGATCAGTTTTAGGTCAGTTTGGGGCAGTTTTGGGGCAGTTTGGGGTGGTTTTGGGTCAGTCTGGATCAGTTTGGGGTAGTTTTGGGTCAGTCCGGGATCAGTTTTAGGTTAGTCTGGATCAGTTTTAGGTCAGTCTAGGGTGGTTTAGGTCAGTCTGGGGCAGTTTTGGGTCAGTCTGGGACAATTTCAGGTCAGTCTGGGGCGATTTTGGGTCAGTCTGGGACAATTTCAGGTCAGTCTGGGGCGATTTTGGGTCACTTTGGGGCATTTCTGGGTCAGTTTGGGGTCAGTCTGGGGCATTCCCAGGCCGGTTTGGGGCAGTTTCAGGTCAGTCTAGGGAGGTTTTGGGTCCTTTTGGAGCAGTTTCACGTCAGTCTAGGGAGATTTTGGGTCACTCTGGGGAGGTTTTGAGTCCCTTTGGGGTATTTTGGGGTCCCTTTGGGGCCGTTTTTGGGCCATTTTGGGCCATTTTTTGGACCATTTTTTCCAGCCGTTCCGGGCTGGTTTTTCAGGACGGGTTTTTTTTTTCCTCCAGGAGAGGTTTTTTGGGACGGGGATTTCATTCCTGGGTCCCAGAGAGCCCCCCGGGCACTCACCACTCCTCGTCCTTGTGTGCCAGGAAGAACTCCTGCAGCTGCTGCCTCCTGAAGTCGAGTTTGTAGTCGTTGTAGCGCTTGACGGCCTCCGTCTCGTCCACCGCGTCGTCCAGGGACAGCAGGAACTCCTTGAAGCTCTTCATCACCGGGGGGGCCATGCCCAGGTCCACCTCCGCGATGGTGCCCAGCCTGGGGGCACCCCCACCGTTTGGAATTCGTTATTGGGGGGTTTGGGGTGCGTTATTGGGGGTTTGGGGTCGTTATTGGGGGTTTGGGATCATTTGGGGTCATTTTTGGTTGGTTCTGGATCGATTTGGGGTCGTTATTGGGGGTTTGGGGGTTGGGGGCGTGCCCAGCTCCACCTCTGCGATGGTGCCCAGCCTGGAGGCGCCCCACCGTTTGGGGTCGTTATTGGGGGGTTTGGGGTCATTTGGGGTCATTACTGGGTCATTATTGGTTGGTTCTGGATTGATTTGGGGTCGTTATTGGGGGGTTTGGGGTCGTTATTGGGGGGTTTGGGGTCGTTATTGAGGGGTTTGGGGTCGTTATTGGGGGGTTTGGGGTCACTTGGGGCCATTTGGGGTCATTATTGGCTGGTTCTCGGATCGATTTGGAGTCATTCTTGGGGGATTTGGGGTCGTTATTGGGGGTTTGGGGTCTTGTGGGGCCATGCCCAGGTCCATCTCTGCAGTGGTGCCCAGCCTGGGAGGCATCCCCGCCGGGTCTGGGGTCGTTATTGGGGGTTTGGGGTCATTTGGGGTCATTATTGGCTGGTTCTGGATCGATTTGGGGTCGTTATTGGGGTGGTTTTGGGGTTTTTAGGGTCTCACCTGGAGTGGTTTTGGGGTGTTTTTGGGGTCTTACCTGGCCTGGATGGGCAGCAGCTGGTGCTGCAGCACGTGGGACATGTCGGGGTTTTTGGGGGGTTTGGGATGGTTTTGGGGTGGTTTTTGGGGGTTTTGGGGTGGTTTGGGGTGGGTGTTTGTGGGGTGTTTTTGGTGTTTTTGGGGTCTCACCTGGCCTGGATGGGCAGCAGCTGGTGCTGCAGCACGTGGGACATGTCGGGGTTTTTGGGGGGTTTAGGGTGGTTTTGGGGTGGTTTTGGGGGTTTTTGGGATGGTTTGGGGGGTTTGGGGGTTTTGGGGTGGTTTTTGGGGTGGTTCAGGATGGTTTTTGGGGTGGTTTTGGGGTTTTTGGGGTCTCACCTGGCCTGGATGGGCAGCAGCTGGTGCTGCAGCACGTGGGACATGTCGGGGTGCCCCAGGGGGTCTGGGGGCCGTAGGTGGGCCCAGCCCCCGCTGTAGGAGCAGGTCAGTACCCGCTGTGGTACGGGTCGGAACCGTGCCTCGTCCCTGGGGGAGAGAAATGGGAGGTCATTGGGGGGCAGCAGGGGGTCACAGGAGTCATTGGGGGGTCACAGGGGTCGGAACCGTGCGTCTGGTCCCTGGGGGGAAAGAAATGGGGAGGTCACAGGGGGTCATTGGGGGTCAGTCTGGGGGGTTACAGGGGGGTCATGGGGGGGTCAAGCAGGGGGCACAGGAGTCGTTGGGGGATCACAGGGGTCATTGGGGGGGCACAGGGGTCAGTGGGGGGGAGTCACAGGGGGTCGGAACCGTGCTGCGTCCCTGGGGGACAGAATTAGGGGGTCATTGGGGGCAGCAGGGGTCAGTGGGGGTCATTGGGGGGCACAGGGGTCGGAGCCGTGCTCGTCCTGGGGGAGAGAGTTGGGGGGTCATTGGGGGTCACAGGGGGGCAGAGGTGTCATTGGGGGGGTCACAGGAGTCAGTGGGGGGTCACAGGGGGGTACAGGGGTCATTGGGGGGGTCATTGGGGGGTCACAGGGGGGACACAGGGGTCGTTGGGGGAGTCACAGGGGATCAACAAAGGGGGTCACAGGGGTCGTTCAGGCGATCGGGGGAGTCAAGGGGGTCCCTGAGTGGCTTTGGGGTCTCAGAGAGGTCCCAGGGTGATTTTAAGGGTCCCAAAGTGTGGGGAGGAGAAAAACCCTAAAATAACCCTATAATAACCCCTAAATAACCCCAAACGTGACCCCGGTGCTGGGTGAGACCCGACACGTTCCGGACACGCCGGGTCAGGTCCCGGTTCACCCCTGGGCTCAGCTCACACTCACGGAGCTGGGGGAGCAAAAACAACCTTAAATAACCCCAAAATAGCCCCAAAATAACCCCAAACGTGACCCCGGTGCTGGGTGAGACCGGAGACATTCCGGACACGCCGAGTCAGGTCCAAGTTCACTCCTGGGCTCAGCTCACACTAACGGAGCTGGGGGGTAAAAATAACCCTAAATAATCTAAAATAACCCCAAAATAACCCTAAAATAACCCTAAATAACCCCAAAATCCAGCCCCAAAACGTTCCACACTCTCCTGGTCAAGTCCCGGTTCACCCCCGGGCTCAGCTCACACTCACGGAGCTGGGGGGGACAAAAAAACCCTAAATAACCCTAAAATAACTCTGAATGACCCTAAATAACCCTAAATAACCCCAAAATAACCCTAAATAATCTAAAATAACCCCAAAATAACCCTAAATAATCTAAAATAACCCCAAAATAACCCCAAACGTGACCCCGGTGCTGGGTCAGAACAGAGACGTTCCGGACACGCCGGGTCAGGTCCCGGTTCACTCCTGGGCTCAGCTCACACTCACGGAGCTGGGGGGGCAAAAAAACCCTAAAAACCCCTAAATAACCCTAAATAACCCCAAAATAACCCTAAATAACCCCAAAATAACCCTAAATAACCCCAAAATGCAGCCCCAAAATGTTCCACACTCTCCTGGTCAGGTCCTGGGCTCAGCTCACACTCCCGGAGCTGGGGGGTAAAAACAACCCTAAATAACCCTAAAATAACCCTGAATGACCCTAAAATAACCCTAAATAACCCCAAAATAGCGCAAAATAGCTATAAATAACCCTAAAACACTCTAAGATAACTGTAAATAATAAGCTCTATGTAAACCTGAATAATTAACCCTAAAACAACCCCAAAATAACCTACAATGACCCTAAATAATAACCCCATATAACCCTAAATAACCTAAAATTACTAACCCTGAAATAACCCCAAACAACCCTAAATACACCAGGACAAAATGACTCTGAAATAACCCTAAATAAATAACCCTAAATAAATAATCCTAAATAAATAACCCTAAACAACCCCTAAAGGACCCAAAACACCACAAAATAAATCCCTGCAAATAACCCAAAACAACACAAAACACTCCTAAAATAACCCTAAATCAAAAAAAACCCCTAAAACAACCCTAAAACAACTCCAAGGACCCCAAAACAACCCTAAATAACACAAAATAAATCATCAGAAATAACCCAAAATAAAACAAAAACTCTTAAATGTAACCCCCCAAGTGTGACCACAACCCCAAATCCCCCCCAGGACCCCCCAAATCCCCCCAAATCCCCCAGGACCCCCAAATCCCCCAGGACCCCCAAATCCCCCAAATCCCCCAAATCCCCGTACCCGGATGTTCTGGAGGCTCCAGCAGATCTCTTTGATGTTGACGCTGCGGTCGAAGGTCACCCAACCCCTCCGGAAAAACCTTGGGGGGTCCTGGGCTGTGAGACCCCCAAAACAGCCCCAAAACACACCCAGGAAACCCCAGAACACCCCCAAACACACCCAGGGACCCCCAAAACAGCCCCAAACACAGCCAGACCCCAAAACCAGCCCCAAAACAGCCCCAAACACACCGAGGAAACCCCAAAACACACCCAGGGACCCCCAAAACACACCCAGGGACCCCCAAAACAAACCCAGACCCCAAAACAGCCCCAAACACAGTCAGGGAACCCCAAAACAGCCCCAGGGACCCCCCAAAACAGCCCCAAACACACCCAGGGACCCCCAAAACAGCCCCAAAACAGCCCCAGGGACCCCCAAAACAGCCCCAAACACAGCCCCAAACCCCAAAACACACCCAGGGACCCCCCAAACACAGCCAGGGAACCCCAAAACAGCCCCAGGGACCCCCAAAACACCCCCAGGGACCCCCAAAACACACCCAGGGACCTCCAAACCACACCCAGTCCCCAAAACAGCCCCAGGGACCCCCAGATTACCCCCAGGACCCCCAATATTTCCCCCCCAGGACCCCAAATATCCCCTTTGGACCCCCTACTCCAGGCCCTCCCCCCAAAATTCCTCCAGGACTTCCGATATCCCCTCCAAGCCCCTCCAAATCCCCCAACACCCCCAGACCCCAAATTTCTCCCCAAGGAACCCCAAATCCCCCCAAATCCCCCAAATCCCCCCAAATCCCCCAGACCCCCAAATCCCCCAGACTCCCCAGACCCACCTCCTCTCGGGCTGGGGCTCGGACAGGGCGACTCTCATGAACCCGGGTACGTTTGCAGAGCTGGGGAGGGGGCACAGGGTGGGGTGGGGGGTTGTTGGGGGTTTTGGGGGTCCCTGAGACCCCCAAATCCCCCCAGGACCCTGCAGCCCCCCTCACCGCCACGATCTCGGCCTGGGAGATGTTGGGGGCGATGTTCCTCATGAACAGGGAGCAGGTTTTGTGCAGGGGGCGAGGTTTGGGGTCCTGAGGACCCCTGGGCCCCCGGCGCCCCCTCCTTGGTTTTGGGGGCCGGGAGGTCCCGGCGCTCTTGTTGTTGTTGTTGTTGTTGTCGTCGTCGAGACCCCGCCCTTGTCCTCCTTGGGCTCCTCTGGGGGGGAGGGAGGAAAGGGGGTGAGGACCCCCAAAATACTCTGGGGACCTCTGGAAACCCCCAGACCACCCTGACCCCCCAAACCATCCTGACCCCCCAAACCCTCCTGATCCCCCCAGACCACCCTGACCCCCCAGACCACTCCTGAGCCCCCCAAACCCTCCTGACCCCCAGACCACCCTGATCCCCCAGACCACCCTGACTCCCCCAAACCCTCCTGAACCCCCAAACCCTCCTGACCCCCAAATCACCCTGACCCCCCAAACCCTCCTGACCCCCAGAACACCCTGACCCCCGAAACCACCTGGACCCCCCAGATACTCCAGACCACCCCCAAGCCCCCTCATTTTGGGGGGTCTCTGGAACCCCCTCACTGTCCCTGACCCTGAGACCCCCAGACCCCCAGGACCCCCTACCCTCATTTTTGGGGATCTCCAGGCCCCCCTCACTGTCCCCATCCCTGAGACCCCTCCAGACCCCCAGTGACCCCCCAGGACCCCCTACCCTCATTTTTGGGGGTCTCCGGACCCCTCGCTGTCCCTGTCCCTGAGACCCCCAGACCCCGCAGTGACCCCCAGGACCCCCTACCCTCATTTTGGGGGTCTCCGGGCCCCCTCGCTGTCCCTGTCCCTGAGACCCCCAGACCCCTCAGTGACCCCCAAGGACCCCCTACCCTCATTTTTGGGGGTCTCAGGCCCCTCGCTGTCGCTGACCCTGAGACCCCCAGACCCCTCAGTGACCCCCAAGGACCCCTACCCTCATTTTTGGGGTCTCCGGCCCCTCGCTGTCGCTGACCTGAGACCCCCCAGACCCCTCAGTGACCCCCAAGGACCCCCTACCCTCATTTTTGGGGGTCTCCGGCCCCCTCGCTGTCGCTGTCACTGTCGCTGTCCCGGCTCGCTGGCGCGCCGAGCCTGCGGGGGCGCCAAGCGCGTCAGGGGCGGGGCTTGGGGGAGAAAGGGGAGGGCTTGGGGCAAAGGGGCAGGGCTTGGGGGCAAAGGGGAGGGGTTTGGTGACAAAGGGGAGGGCTTGGGGAGAAAGGAGGGGCTCGGGGAAAGGGGTGGGACTTGGTGACAAAGGGAGGGGCTCGAGAGGAGAGGGTGGGGCTTGGTGACAAAGGGGAGGGGTTTGTGGACCAAGGGGGCGTGGTTGGGGGTCAGAGAGTGTGGCTCTATGGGGGTGTGGCTCAGGAGTTGAGGGCGTGGTTTGCCAGCAGGGGGCGTGGTTTTGCTCAGTGGGCGTGGTTATTTTTGGGCGGGGGCTCGGGTTTTTGGGGGGGTCTGTGGGGGTCTGTCCACCCACCTTGGGCCCCTCCTTGTCCCCCTCCTCCTCCTTCGGCCCCTTCTCAGGCCCCTCCTCCTCTTCCTCAGGCCCCACCCCCGCTGCTGGCTCCGCCCCCGGCTCCGCCCCTTCAGCCTGGGGGGAGGGACAAGGGCGGGGTCACAAAGGGGGGGACAAAAGGGACCCGAAAAACAGCAAATGGACCCCAAAACCACCACAGGGACCCCAAAACCACCAAAAACAGCAAATGGACCCCAAAACCACCAAAGGGACCCCAAAGACACCAAAGATTCCAAATGGACCCCAAAACCACCACAGGGACCCCAAAAACACCAAAAACAGCAAATGGACCCCAAAACCACCAAAAGGACCCCAAACCCACCAAAAACAGCAAATGGACCCCAAAACCACCAAATGAACCCCAAAACCACCAAAGGGACCCCAAAACCACCAAAAACAGCAAATGGCCTCCAAAACCACCAAAGATTCCAAATGGACCCCAAAACCACCAAAGGGACCCCAAAGACACCAAAACCACCAAATGGACCCCAAAACCACCAAAGGGACCCCAAAACCACCAAAGAGACCAAATGGACCCCAAAACCACCAAAGGGACCCCAAAAACACCAAATGGACCCCAAAACCACCAAAGGGACCCCAAAGACACCAGAAACAGCAAATGGACCCCAAAACCACCAAAACCAGCAAATGGACCCCAAAGACACCAAAAACAGCAAATGGACCCCAAAACCACCACAAAGGGACCCCAAAAACACCAAAGAGACCAAATGGACCCCAAAACCACCAAAGGGACCCCAAAGACACCAATGGGGCCCAAAAGAGACCCAGGGGAGAAAAAGGACCCCAAATACTCCAGAGAGACCCAAAAGTGACCCCAAAGACCCCGAAAAGACCCCACAGCACCCCAGTCACCCCAAAGAGACCCCAAAGACCACAAAGGTGTCACCCCAAAGGACCCCAAAAGGGACCCCCAAAAGGGACCCCCAAAAGGGACCTGAAAGACCCCGAAGGGCCTTTTGGGGTCCCTCCCAAGGACCCCTCCCCACCCCACCTCCCGAACCTTGGGGGGCTCGTCGGCCTCGGGGGGGCCCTTCCCGGGCGGCTCCGGCGGCCGCGGCTCCTCCTTCTTGGGCCCCTCGGCCTTGTCGGGCCTCTCCTCCTCCTCCTCCTGCTCCAGGATGCGCAGGTCGTGCTCTGAGCCCCCCTCCATCTTGATCACGGCTGCAAGAGGGGTAAAAACACCCGAATTCAGTTAAAATGTGCAAAAAACGGGGAAAAACGGACAGAAAATGGGGAAAAACCACCCCAGAAATGGGGCAGGAGCGCTCCGAGCCCCCCTCCATCTTGATCACGGCTGCAAGAGGGGCAAAAACACCCCAGAATGGTTAAAATGTGCAAAAAACAGGGAAAAACAGCCCCAAAATAGGGTAAAACCCCCCCAGAAATGGGGCAGGAGCGCTCCGAGCCCCCCTCCATCTTGATCATGGCTGAAAGCGGGGCAAAAACACCCCAGAATGGTTAAAATGTGCAAAAAACCGGGGAAAAACAGACAGAAAATGGGGAAAACAGCCCCAAAAATAGGGTAAAACCCCCCCAGAAATGGGGCAGGAGCGCTCCGAGCCCCCTCTGGCTCCGTCATGCACTTATGGGGGCTCTCGGGGAGGATTTTGGGGCTCTCAGGGAAGGTTTTGTGGCCTCAGGGTCTGTTTTGTGCTCTCAGGGATGATTTTGTGGCCTCAGGTAAAATTTTGGGGCCTCAGGGAAGGTTTTGGGGCCTCAGTGAAGATTTTATGCTCTCAGGGAAGGTTTTGTGCTCTCAGGGAAGGTTTTGTGGCCTCAGGGAAGGTTTTGGGGCCTCAGGGAAGGTTTTGGGGCCTCAGGGCCTGTTTTGCGCTCTCAGGGAAGATTCTGTGGCCTCAGGGGAGGATTTTATGCTCTCATGGAAGGTTTTGTGGCCACAGGGGAGGATTTTGGGGCCTCAGGGTCTGTTTTGTGCTCTCAGGGAAGATTTTGGGGCCTCAGGGATGATTTTGGGGCCTCAGGGAAGATTCTGTGGCCTGAGGGGAGGATTTTGGGGCCTCAGGGAAGGTTTTGTGCCCTCAGGGGATGATTTTGTGGCCCCAGGGGAGGATTTTGTGGCCTCAGGGGATGATTCTGGGGCCTCAGGGAAGGTTTTGTGCTCTCAAGGAAGGTTCTGTGGCCTCAGGGAAGGTTTTGTGGCCTCAAGGAAGGTTTTGTGGCCTCAAGGAAGGTTTTGTGGCCTCATGCCCTGCTTTTCCCAGTCCTCCCACACCCCCTCTTTCCCGAGCCCCCATTTTTTTGGGGGTGTCCCACCCACCTGCATCGAGGGTCTTGACGATCTGGGGGCCCTGTCGATGTCGAGCAGGAGGTTTTCGAACCAGCCGTGCTCGGACAGGTACAGGAACACCCCCAGGCGGTTCCTCAGTGCCGCCTGGGCCTCCTGCCGGCGCCTGGCCCGCCTCGGCCGGGGTGGTACTTGGAGCGGAACCTGGGGGAAAATGGGTATTGGGGGGAACAGGGGGGTCACTGTGAGATTTGGGGGATTTGGGGGTTTCAGTGGGAGTTTGGGGGATTTCAGGGGATATGGGGGTAACGGGGACCCCGGCCTCGTCGGGGTGGTACTTGGAGCGGAACCTGAGGGGAAAATGGGCATTGGGGGGAACAGGGGGTTTGAGGGGGTTACAGTGGGGTTTGGGAAGGTTACAGTGAGATTTGGGGGATTTGGGGGGTTTCAGTGGGACTTTGGGGGATTTCAGGGGATATGGGAGGTAATGGGGCCCCCGGCCTCATCAGGGTGGTACTTGGAGCGGAACCTGAGGGAAAATCAGCAGTGGGGGGAACAGGGGGTTTCAGTGGGATTTGGGGGCATTTGGGGGTTCAGTGGGAGTTTGGGGGGTTACAGGGCTAATGGAGGGGGGTAATGCAGCCCCCCCGGCCTTGTCAGGGTGGTACTTGGAGTGGAACCTGAGGGGAAATCAGCAGTGGGGGGGAAACAGGGGGGGTCACTGTGAGATTTGGGGAGGTTACAGTGGGATTTAGGGGGGTTTCAGTGGGAGTTTGGGGGGTTTCAGTGGGATTTGCGGGGTTACAGGGGATATGGAGGGGGTAACGGGGCCCCTCGGCCTCGTCGGGGTGGTACTTGGAGCGGAACCTGAGGGGGAAATCGGGCATTGGGGGGGAACAGGGGGGGTTTGGGGGTTAGAGTGGGATTTGGGGCCCTCTGGGCTATTGTGGGGGGTCCTCTGGTTTTTTTGAGGTGTTTCAGGGGTATCTTGGGGTGTTTCAGGATGTTTGGGGGGTGTCCTAGGGTGTTACTGGGCTGTCCCAGTGATGTTCTTAGGATGCTTTAAAAGTATTTTGGGGTGTTTCTGGGGTATTCTGGGGTGTTTTAGGGGTATTTTGGGGTGTCCCAGGAGTGTCCCGAGGTGTTCATACATACTCTTGCCTAGGGGTATTTTAGAGTTTTTCTGGGGTATTCTGGGGATATTTTGGGGTGTTTTAGGGGTATTTTGGGGTGCTCTGGGGGTATTTTAGGGTGTTTGGGGGGTATTTTGGGGTGTCCCAGGGGTGTCCCGGGGTGTTCATACATACTCTTGGCTAGGGGTATTTTGGGATATTTCTGGGGTGTTTCTGGGGTATTTTGGGGTATTCTGGGGTGTTTTAGGGGTATTTTGGGGTGTCCCAGGGGTGTCCCGGGGTGTTCATACATACTCTTGCCTAGGGGTATTTTAGGGTTTTTCTGGGGTATTCTGGGGATATTTTGGGGTGGTTTTGGGGTGTCCCAGGGGTGTCCCGGGGTGTTCATACATACTCTTGGCTAGGGGTATTTTGGGGTATTTTAGGGGTATTTTGGGGTATTTCTGGGGTATTTTGGGGTGTTTTAAGGGTGTCCCAGGGGTGTCCCGGGGTGTTCATACATACTCTTGGCTAAGGGTGTTTTGGGGTAATTTAGGGTGTTTCTGGGGTGCTCTGGGGGTATTTTAGGGTGGTTTTGGGGTGTCCCGGGGTGTTCATACATACTCTTGGCTGGGGGTATTTGGGGGTATTTTAGGGGTATTTTGGGGTGTTTTTGGGGTGTTTTGGGGTGTTTTAGGGTATTTTGGGGTGTTTCAGGGGTATTTTGGGGTGTCCCAGGGGTGTCCCGGGGTGTTCATACATACTCTTGGCGCCGGCGTCGCCGTCGAGGCCCCCGGGAGTTGGGGGGGCGAGGGGGAGGTTGGGGGTGGTGGGGGGTGGGGAGGGGCGGCTCAAGCACCGACCCCCGGCCCCAAAACCGGCCGGTTCTCACCGAAACCCCCATCCCCAAAAAAACCACCAAAAAAACCACACACCCACCACACGCCGGGAAAAGGAGGGTGGGGGATTGGAGGGGGCACAAAGCCCCTTTTCCCCCAAAACAAAAATAAAACAACAAAGGTCCCTGGCTGAGTCCTGCACTGGCCGCTAGCGCCGCTGTAGCGGCCCCGCCCTGCCTGCCTGCCCGCGCCGGGGTGTGGGCTGGGGAGCCCCAAATCCCCTAAACACCCCCCTTCTGCTCTCCAGGGGGCTTTTCCCGGGTCCGGAGGGCGCTTTGGGAGGAGAGAGAAGGGAAGCGTCAACGCGGCACGCGGAGAACGAGCCCCTCCACGCCCACCACCCCAAAAATGACCCCCTCCCCAAAAATGACCCCTCCCCAAAAATGACCCCTCCCCCAAAAATGACCCTCACCTCCCCCTCCCCAGGAAATTCACTGGGAGGGGGTTTTAAAGGGGGTGGTTTGCCCCCACCCTCCCCTCCCAAACCCCCCCACACACCCCAAAATGGGACTGGATGGGCTGGGAAATGACACCACAGAACCCTCCCCCCCCAACAAGGGATTTAGGGGAGTTCTGGGGATGGGTCTGGGGAACTTTTGGGGCAGTTTGGGTCAGTTTTGGGTCAGTTTGGGGTGGTTTTGGGGTCGGGTTTAGGTCAGTCTGGATCGGTTTCAGGTCAGTCTGGGGCAGTTTTGGGTCAGTCTGGGGTGGTTTTGGGGCAGTTTGGGGTAGTTTTGGGGCAGTCTGGGGCGATTTTGGGGCAGTCTGGGGCGGTTTTGGGTCAGTCTGGATCAGTTTTGGGTCAGTTTGGGGTAGTTTTGGGTCAGTGTGGGGCAGTTTTGGGGCAGTCTGGGTCAGTTTTGGGGCAGTCTGGGTCAGTCCGGATCAGTTTTAGGTTAGTCTGGATCAGTTTTAGGTCAGTCTAGGGTGGTTTTGGGGCAGTCTGGGGCAGTTTTGGGTCAGTTTGGGGCAGTTTTGGGTCAGTCTGGATCAGTTTTAGGTCAGTTTGGGGCAGTTTTGGGGCAGTTTGGGGTGGTTTTGGGTCAGTCTAGATCAGTTTTGGGGTAGTTTTGGGTCAGTCCGGATCAGTTTTGGGTCAGTCTGGATCAGTTTTAGGTCAGTCTAGGGTGGTTTTGGGTCAGTCTGGGGCAGTTTTGGGTCAGTCTGTGTCAGTTCTAGGTCACTCTGGGGCGATTTTGGGTCAGCCTGGGGCAATTTCAGGTCAGTCTGGGTCAGTTTTGGGCGATTTTGGGTCACTTTGGGGCATTTCTGGGTCAGTTTGGGGTCGGTCTGGGGCATTCCCAGGCTGGTTTGGGGCAGTTTCAGATCAGTCTAGGGAGCTTTTGGGTCCTTTTGGGGCAGTTTCACGTCAGTCTGGGGATGTTTTGGGTCACTCTGGGGAGCTTTTGACTCCCTTTGGGACATTTTGGGGTCACTTTGGGGCTGTTTTGGGTCCCTTTTGGGCCATTTTTTGGACCATTTTTTCCGACCGTTCCGGGCTGGTTTTTCAGGACGGGTTTTTTTTTTCCTCCAGGAGAGGTTTTTTGGGACGGGGATTTCATTCCTGGGTCCCAGAGAGCCCCCCGGGCACTCACCACTCCTCGTCCTTGTGTGCCAGGAAGAACTCCTGCAGCTGCTGCCTCCTGAAGTCGAGTTTGTAGTCGTTGTAGCGCTTGACGGCCTCCGTCTCGTCCACCGCGTCGTCCAGGGACAGCAGGAACTCCTTGAAGCTCTTCATCACCGGGGGGGCCATGCCCAGGTCCACCTCTGCGATGGTGCCCAGCCTGGGGGGGCACCCCCACCGTTTGGGGTCGTTATTGGGGGGTTTGGGGTCGTTATTGGGGGGTTTGGGGTCGTTATTGGGGGGTTTGGGATCATTTGGGGTCATTTTTGGTTGGTTCTGGATCGATTTGGGGTCGTTATTGGGGGTTTGGGGGTTGGGGGCCGTGCCCAGCTCCACCTCTGCGATGGTGCCCAGCCTGGGGGCGCCCCGACCGCATTGGGGTCGTTATTGGGGGTTTGGGGTCATTTGGGGATACTGGGTCATTATTGGTTGGTTCTGGATTGATTTGGGGTCGTTATTGGGGGTTTGGGGTCGTTATTGGGGGTTTGGGGTCGTTATTGAGGGGTTTGGGGTCGTTATTGGGGTTTGGGGTCACTTGGGGCCATTTGGAGTCATTATTGGCTGGTTTCGGATCGATTTAGAGTCATTCTTGGGGGGTTTGGGGTCGTTATTGGGGGTTTGGGGGCTTGGGGGGCCATGCCCAGGTCCATCTCTGCAGTGGTGCCCAGCCTGGGGGGGCATCCCCGCCGTCTGGGGTCGTTATTGGGGGGTTTGGGGTCATTTGAGGTCATTATTGGCTGTTTCTGGATCGATTTGGGGTCATTATTGAGGTGGTTTTGGGGTTTTTTTAGGGTCTCACCTGGAGTGGTTTTGGGGTGTTTTTGGGGTCTTACCTGGCCTGGATGGGCAGCAGCTGGTGCTGCAGCACGTGGGACATGGCGGGGGTTTTGGGGGGTTTGGGATGGTTTTGGGGTGGTTTTTGGGGGGTTTGGGGTGGTTTTGGGGTGTGTTTGGGGGTGTTTTTGGTGTTTTTGGGGTCTCACCTGGCCTGGATGGGCAGCAGCTGGTGCTGCAGCACTGGGACATGTCGGTTTGGGGTTTTGGGGGTTTTGGGGTGGTTTTGGGGGTTTTTGGGATGGTTTGGGGGGTTTTTGGGGGTTTTTGGGGTGGTTTTTGGGGTGGTTCAGGATGGTTTTTGGGGTGGTTTTGGGGTGTTTTTGGGGTCTCACCTGGCCTGGATGGGCAGCAGCTGGTGCTGCAGCACGTGGGACATGTCGGGGTGCCCCCAGGGGGTCTGGGGGGGGCCGTAGGTGGGCCCAGCCCCCCCCCCGCTGTAGGGCAGGTCGTACCCGCTGTGGTACGGGTCGGAACCGTGCTCGTCCCTGGGGGGGGAGAGAAATGGGGGGTCATTGGGGGGCACAGGGGGTCACAGGAGTCATTGGGGGGTCACAGGGGTCGGAACTGCCTGTCCCTGGGGGGAAAGAAATGGGGGTCACAGGGGTCATTGGGGGATCATTGGGGGTTACAGGGGGTCATGGGGGGCTGCAGGGGGCACAGGGGTCGTTGGGGGATCACAGGGGTCATTGGGGGGGCACAGGGGTCAGTGGGGGGGTCACAGGGTCGGAACCGTGCTCGTCCCTGGGGGACAGAATTAGGGGGTCACTGGGGCACAGGGGTCAGTGGGGGTCATTGGGGGCACAGGGTCGGAGCCGTGCTCGTCCTGGGGGAGAGAATTGGGGGTCATTGGGGGTCAGCAGGGGGGCAGAGGTGTCATTGGGGGTCACAGGAGTCAGTGGGGGTCACAGGGGGTACAGGGGTCATTGGGGGGCATTGGGGGTCACAGGGGGGACACAGGGGTCATTGGGGGGGTCACAGGGATCAACAAAGGGGTCACAGGGGTCGTTCAGGCGATCGGGGGGGGGTCAAAGGGGGGTCCCTGAGTGGCTTTGGGGTCTCAGAGAGGTCCCAGGGTGATTTTTGGGGTCCCAAAGTGATTTTTGGGGTCCTGGAGTGACTTTTGGGTGTGTTTTGGGGTCTCAGGGTGGGTTTTTGGGGTGGGTTCTTGGGGTTTCAGGGTGTGTTTTGGTGTCTCAGAAAAGTCTCAGGGTGGGTTTTTGGGGTCTCAGGATGATTTTTGGGGTGGGTTTTTGGGATCTCAGGGTGGGGTTTTGGGTGCATTTTGGTGGTCCCAGGGTGATTTTTGGGGTCCCAGAGTGATCTTTGGGGGTCTCAGGGTGATTTTTGGTGTGTTTTGGGGGTCCCAGGGTGATTTTTGGGGGTCCCAGGGTGATTTTTGGTGTCTCAGGGTGATTTTGGGGTGTTTTGGGGGTTTCAGGGTGATTTTTGGGGGTCCCAGGGTGATTTTGGGGGTCCCAGGGTCATTTTTGGGTGTGTTTTGGTGGTCCCAAGGTGATCTTTGGGGGTCTCAAGGTGATTTTTGGGGGTCCCAGGGTGTTTTTGGGGGTCCCAGGGTGATTTTTGGGGGTCCCAGGGTGGTGTTTGGGTGTTTTTAGGGGTCCCAGGGTGATTTTTGGGAGTCCCAGGGTGATTTTGGGGGTCCCAGGGTGATTTTGGGGGTCCCAGGGTGATGTTTGGGGTCTCAAGGTGATTTTTGGGTGATTTTGGGGGTCCCAGGGTGATTTTTGGTGGTCCCAGGGTGACGTTTGGGGTCTCACCAGTCCCTGCGGAGCCGTTTCTGGGGGGGGCTGAGCTCGTGCCGGGGGGGGCTGAACCTCTCGCGCCGCGTGCGGTCGTAGTCGCGATAGTCCCGACTGCGCCGCTCCCGACCCCGCTCCCAGTCCCTGGGAATGGGAAAAACCAGGAAAAATGAGACAAAAAACATCCAGGGAACCCCCCAGTCCCGACTGCGCCGCTCCCGGCCCCGCTCCCAATCCCTAAAACTGGGGAAAACCAGGAAAAATGAGGGGAAAAACATCCTGGGAACCCCCCCAGTCCCAACTGCGCCGCTCCCGGCCCCGCTCCCAGTCCCTGGGAATGGGAAAAATCGGGAAAAATGAGCAGGGAAACACCCTGAGACCCCCCCAGTCCCGACTGCGCCGCTCCCGGCCCCGCTCCCAGTCCCTAAAACCGGGAAAAATGGGAAAAATGAGGGGAAAAACATCCTGGGAACCCCCCAGTCCCGACTGCGCCGCTCCCGGCCCCGCTCCCAGTCCCTAAAACCATGGAAAACCGGGAAAAACCAGGAAAAATGAGGGGAGAAACATCCAGGGAACCCCCCCAGTCCTGATTGCGCCGCTCCCGGCCCCGCTCCCAGTCCCTAAAACCACGGAAAATGGGAAAAATGAGGGAAAAACATCCTGGGAACCCCCAGTCCCGACTGCGCCGCTCCCGGCCCCGCTCCCAGTCCCTAAAACCACGGAAAAATGGGAAAAATGAGGGGAAAAACATCCTGGGAACCCCCCAGTCCCGACTGCGCCGCTCCCGGCCCCGCTCCCAGTCCCTAAAACCATGGAAAACCGGGAAAAATGAGGGGAGAAACATCCAGGGAACCCCCCCAGTCCTGATTGCACCGCTCCCAGTCCCTGAAAACACGGAAAAATGGGAAAAACCGGGAAAAATGAGGGGAAAAACATCCAGGGAACCCCCCCAGTCCTGATTGCACCGCTCCCGGCCCCGCTCCCAGTCCCTGAAAATGGGGAAAAATCAGGAAAAATGAGGGGAAAAACATCCAGGGAACCCCCAGTCCCGACTGCGCCGCTCCCGGCCCCGCTCCCAATCCCTAAAACCATGGAAAACCGGGAAAAATGAGGGGAAAAACATCCTGGGAACCCCCAGTCCCGACTGCGCCGCTCCCGGCCCCGCTCCCAGTCCCTAAAAACGGGAAAAACCAGGAAAAACCGGGAAAAATGAGGGGAAAACATCGAGGGAACCCCCCCAGCCCCGACTGCGCCGCTCCCGGCCCCGCTCCCAGTCCCTAAAACCACGGAAAAATGGGAAAAATGAGCAGGGAAACACCCTGGGAACCCCCCCCGCCCTCTCCCAGTTCCTAAAAATAGGGAGAAAACCGGGAAAAGCGGGTAAAAAAACGGGAAAAGCAGAAAAAGCGGGAACAGAGGGAGCTGCTCCCTGGCCCTGATCCCAACCCCTGGAATTTGGGGGATTTGGGGAATTTGGGGAGGTCAGGACAGTCCTGACTGGGCCAATCCCACCCCTAAACACCAGTCCAGCCCAGTTGGGCTCCAACTCCCCCCAGTATGACATCAGTCCCTCCCAGTCCATCCCAGTACGATGTTAACTCCAGCCCAGTCCATCCCAGTCCCTCCCAGTGCTCCCAGCTTCCCGCTCGCCCCTCCGAGCTTCCCTCCCAATTCCCTCCCAGTTGCTCCCAGTGGAACATCAACCTTTCCCAGTCTCTCCCAGTGCCTCCCAGTCACTCTCCAGTCCCTCCCAGTCTCTCCCAGTACAGCATCAACCTCTCCCAGCCCCTCTCCAGTCCCTCCCCCAGTCTCTCCCAGTACAGCATTAACCTCTCCCAGTCCCCCCCAAGTCCCTCTCCAGCCCCTCCCAGTCCCTCCCAGTCTCTCCCAGTACAGCATTAACGTCTCCCAGTCCCCCTCCAATCCCTCCCAGTGCTCTCCAGTCGTCTCCAGTCACTCACTGCTCTCCTCAGTCCCTCCCAGTGCCCTCCCTAGTCCTCCTCCTCCCAGTTCTCTCCAGTCCCTCCCAGTACCCTTCCTCCAGTGCCCCCCAGTCCCTCTCCAGTCTCTCCCAGTCCCTCCCAGTCCCTCCCAGTGCCCCCCATTCCCCACCTGTCGCTCCAGTCCTCCCTCCCAGTCCCTCCCAGTGCCCCTCAGTGCCTCCCACTCCCTCTCCAGTCCCTCCCAGTCTCTCCCAGTACAGTATTAACCTCTCCCAGTCCCCCCAGTCCCACCTGTCGCTCCAGTCCTCCCTCCCAGCGCCCCCAGTCCCTCCCAGTCTCTCTCCAGTCCCTCCAGTCCTCCAGTCCTCTCCCAGTCTCTCCCTCCTCCAGTCTCTCCCAGTCCCCTCCCAGTCCCCCCCAGTCCCTCCCAGTGCCCCCATTCCCCACCTGTCGCTCCAGTCCTCCCTCCCAGTGCCTCCCCAGTCCCTCCCAGTGCCCCCCAGTCCCCCCAGTCCCAGTCCCTCCCAGTGCCCCTCCAGTGCCCTCCCAGTGCCTCTCAGTCCCTCCCAGTGCCCCCCAGTCCCTCCCAGTCCCTCCCAGTGCCCCCCAGTCCCCTCCCAGTCCCTCCCAGTCCCCCCCAGTCCCACCTGTCGCTCCAGTCCTCCCTCCTCCTCTCGTCCCTCTCCCTGGACCTGTCGTACTCGCTCCGCTCCCTCCGGAATTTGTCTCGGCGCCGTCGGTCGTACTCGTCGTCGCTGTCCCCCATCCCGGGGGCTGCTCGGGCTCAGGGACCCCAAAATTGAACCTGGGACCCCAAAATCCAACCTGGGACCCCAAAATTATCTCAGGGACCCCCAAATCACACCTGGAACCCCAAATCACACCTGGAACCCCAAAATTATCCCTGGGACCCCAAAATTATCCCTGGGACCACAAAAATCACACCTGGAACACCCCAAATCACACCTAGGACCCCCAAATCACACCTGGGACCCCAAATCCAACCTGGGAACCCCAAAATTGAACCTGGGGACCCCAAATCCAACCTGGGAACCCCAAAATCACACCTGGGACCCCCAAATTGAACCTGGGACCCCAAAATTATCCCTGGGACCCCAAAATCACACCTGGGACCACAAAAATCACACCTGGGACTCCCCAAATCAAGCCTGGGAACCCCAAAATTATCCCCTGGGAACCCCAAATCACACCTGGGAACCCCAAAATTGAACCTGGGAACCCCAAAATCACACCTGGGGACCCCAAAATTATCTCAGGGACCCCCAAATCACACCTGGGAACCCCCAAATCCAACCTGGGAACCCCAAAATCACACCTGGGAGCCCCAAAATCACACCTGGGACACCCAAATTATCCCCTGGGACCCCCAAATCACACCTGGGACACCTAAAATTGAACCTGGGAACCCCAAATTATCCCCTGGGAACCCCCAAATCACACCTGGGAACCCCAAAATCCAACCTGGGACCCCAAAATTGAGCCTGGGAACCCAAAATTGAAGCTGGGACCCCCAAATCACACCTGGGACCCCCAAATCCAACCTGGGACCCCAAAAATCACACCTGGGACCCCCAAAATTAAACCTGGGACCCCAAAATTGAACCTGGGAACCCCAAAAATCACACCTGGGAACCCCAAAATCGAGCCTGGAACACCCAAAATTATCCCCTGGGACCCCAAAATCATCCCTGGGACCCCCAAATCAAACCTGGGACCCCCAAATCACACCTGGGAACCCCAAAATTATCCCTGGGACCCCAAAAATTGAACCTGGGACCCCCAAATCACACCTGGGAACCCCAAAATTACCCCTGGGACCCCAAAAATTGAACCTGGGACCCCCAAATCCAACCTGGGAACCCCAAAATTATCCCTGGGACCCCAAAATCACACCTGGGACCCCAAAATTGAACCTGGGAACCCAAAAATCACACCTGGGGACCCCAAAAATCACACCTGGAACCCCAAAATTATCCCTGGGACCCCAAAATCACACCTGGGACCCCCAAAATTGAACCTGGGACCCCAAAATTGAACCTGGGAACCCCAAAAATCACACCTGGGAACCCCAAAATCGAGCCTGGGACCCCCAAATTATCCCCTGGGAACCCCAAATCACACCTGGAACCCCAAAATTATCTCTGGGAACCCAAAATTATCCCTGGGACCCCCCAAATCACACCTGGGAACCCCAAAAATGGAACCTGGGACCCCAAAATTATCCCTGGGACCCCAAATCACACCTGGGAACCCCAAAATCACACCTGGGGACCACAAAATGGAGCCTGGGAACCCCAAAATTATCCCTGGACCCCCAAAATCACACCTGGGAACCCCAAAATCACACCTGGGACACACCAAAATCACACCTGGGGACCACAAAATTGAACCTGGGACCCCCCCAAATCATCCCCTGGGACCCACAAAATCACACCTGGGACCCCAAAATTGAACCTGGGACCCCCAAAATCGAACCTAGGACCCCCCCCCAAAATCGTCCCCTGGGACCCCCCAAAATCATCCCCTAGGACACCCAAATCCAACCTGGGAACCCCAAAAATCGAACCTGGGAACCCCAAAAATCGAACCTGGGACCCCCAAATCCAACCTGGGACCCCCAAATTGAACCTGAGACCCCCCAAAAATCATCCCCTGGAATCCCCCAAATCATCCCCTTGGACCCCCCCAAATCATCCCCTGGGACCCCCAAAATCATCCCCTGGGACCCCCTAAAATCATCCCTGGGACCCCTCAAATCACACCTGGGACCCCCAAAATCAAGCCTGGGACCCCCCCCCAAAATCATCCCCTGGGACCCCCAGATCGAACCTGAGACCCCCCAAATCATCCCTTGGACCCCCAAAATCATCCCCTGGGACACCCAAAATCGAACCTGGGGGGCCCCAGAACCCCCTCCCAAAATCACCCCTTGGGACCCCCCGGAACACGTGGGGATCCCCAACTTACCCACCTCACCCTGGGACCCCAAATGTGACCCTCCTGCCCCTCAACAATCCGAGACCCCCAAGACCCCCCAGCCCCCAATCCAGGATCCTCTGCGGCCCCGGACCCTGCTCCAGCCCCCCCTTGAGACCCTGCCACGACCCCAGACCCCCACGACCCCAAGAACTCCCCCAGGACGCCCCCGACCCCCTCGGCCCCCAAATCCCCCCAGGACCCCCAAATCCCCCAGTGCTCCCCAAATCCCCCAGGACCCCCAAATCCCCCCAAATCCCCCCCAGCCCCCATCCCATGATCCTCTGCGGCCCCCTCAGGCCCCCAAGCCCCCAAACCCCCCAAAGCCCCCGGCCCCCACCCTGACCCCCCGCGCCTCCCAGCTCCCGGATGACGTCAAAATCCCCCGTGACGTCACTCGAGGCCCCCCTCGGACCTGCCCTGGCGGCCCCGGCCCCGCGCGCCGCCGCCCGCTCGCTTCCGGCCCGCCGCCCGCCGGAACTGACGTCACGCCGACATGGCGGCGCCCACCCGCGGGAGCCGCTCTGGCCGCGCGGGAGGACCCCGCCGTTCCTCGGTGGTTCGCCCGCGGAGCGGGGCTCGCGGCCGGCCGGGGCGGCGCGGAGGCACCGGAGGAGCCTCCCCGGGGTGGGAGCGGCGCGTCCCGCGGGGCCCGGCGGGCGGGGCAGCGGCGGGGAGGCCCCGTCTCTGTGGTGGCCGCGGGCTCGCACCGCGCCTGCGCCGCCCCCGCCGCCGCCGCCTCCCATTGGTCACAACTGCCCCGCGCGCGCGCCTTGGCCCCGCCCCCGGCCGCGCCGCCATCTCCTGCCCGGTCACGTGACGAGGGGGGGGCGGCCCCGCCATTTTGTGCGGCCGCGCTCGGCGCAGGCGCAGTCGGGGCCGCTGAGGCCGCTCCGGGCGCCGCCATCGCCGGGACGGGCACGGCTTGCCAGGACTTGGCTCCCAGTGCTCCCAGTAACGGCCTGGGACCCTCCCCAGTGCTCCCAGTGCCCCCAGTAACGGCCCGGGGCCCTCCCCACTGCTCCCAGTGCTCTCAGTAACGGCCTGGGGCCCTCCCCAGTGATCCCAGTGCCCCCAGTAACGGCCTGGGACCCTGCCCAGTGCTCCCAGTGCTCCCAGGAATGGCCCAGTGGTCCCAATAATGGCCCAGTGCTCCCAGTATAGCCCCAGTGCCCTGCCCAGCCCTCCCAGTTCCCCCTCAGTCTCTCCCAGTGCCCCCTAGTCTGTCCCAGTCCCTCCCAGTCTCTCCCAGTTCCCCCTCAGTCTCTCCCAGTTTTCCCCAGTCTGTCCCAGTTGGTTCCAGTCTATCCCAGTTCCCGTTTAGAACCCCCCCAGTCTGTCCCAGTCACTCCCAGTCCCCCTCAATCCTCTCCCAGTTGGTTCCAGTCTATCCCAGTCCCCGTTTAGACCCCCCCAGTCTCTTCCAGCTCCTCCCCAGTCTGTCCCAGTTCCCCCCCACTCTGTCCCAGTCCCCCCCAGTCTGTCCCAGTTCCCCCTCAGTCTCTCCCAGTTCCCCCCCAGTCCATCCCAGTTCCCCCCCAGTCTGTCCCAGTCCCTCCCAGTACCCCTGTGACCACCCCCCAGTCTGTCCCAGTCCCTTCCAGTCCCCCTCAAGCCTCTCCCAGTTGGTTCCAGTCTATCCCAGTGCCCGTTTAGACCCCCCCAGTGCCCCCCTAGTCTGTCCCAGTCCCTCCCAGTTCCCCCTCAGTCTCTCCCAGTTCCCCCTCAGTCTCTCCCAGTCCCTCCCAGTCCGTCCCAGTCTGTCCCAGTCTGTCCCAGTCCTTCCCAGTGCCCCCCAATCCTCTCCCAGTTGGTTCCAGTCTGTCCCAGTCCCCGTTTAGACCCTCCCAGTTCCCCCCCAGTCTGTCCCAGTCCCTCCCAGTGCCCCTGTGACCCCCTCCAGTCCCTCCCAGTTCCTCCCAGTGCCTCCCAGTTCCTGCCGGGCCCCTCCCTGGAAACGCTGGAACAAAAGCCCTTTTCCTGTTGGGAGGGAGGCCGAGACCCCTGCCCCGGGACCCCCTCGAGGGGCCCAAAATCCTCCAAACTCACCCCAAAAAAACAACCCCGGGCTCCACAAACCCCCCCCGAGGGCTCTCTGGGACCCCCCCCCAAAAAAAACCCCAAATTCTTGGGAGACCCCGGACCCCCCAAAAACCCCAAACCCAAATTCTTGGGGGAGACCCCTGGACCCCGGAGATTTATTTCTTTTTGGACCCCTCCCCCTTTGGAGATTTTTTTGGGATCCCTCCTGGAATTTTTGGGATTCCCCTCAAAATTCTTTTTGAGGAGCCCCCTCGGATTTTTGGGACCTTCCGGATTTTTGGGACCCCCTGAGATTTTTTAGGACCTCCAAACTCATTTTCGGACCCCCTCGGATTTTGGGACCCCCAGGGTTTTTGGGACCCCTCGGATATTTCTGGGACCCCGGATTTTTGGGACCTTCCAGGATTTTTTGGGACCCCTCCAAACTCTTGGGACCCCCTCGAATTTTTGGATCCCCCTCAGATAATTTCAGAACCCCCAGGATTTTTGGGAACCCCGGATTTTTGGGACTCCCGGGGTTTTTGGGACCCCCTCGGATTTTTGAGACCTTCCAGGATTTTTTGGGACCCCTCCAAACTCTTTTTTGGGACCCCCTCGGATTTTTGGGACCCCCCCCACCGGGATTTTTGGGACCTTCCAGGATTTTTGGGATCCCCGGATTTTTGGGACCCTCACAAACTCATTTTTGGGACCCCCTTGGATTTTTCGGACCCCCTCGGATTTTGGGATCCCCAGGATTTTTGGGACCTTCCAGGATATTTTGGGACCCCCTCGGATTTTTGGGCCCCCCCCCCTCTGATTTTTTGGGACCCTCCAGGATTTTTGGGACCCTCCAGGATTTTTTGGGGGCCCCTCCAAACTCATTTTTGGGACCCCCCCTCAGATTTTTGGGACCCCCCCTCGGATTTTCGGGACCCCCCCCTCGGATAATTTCGGACTCCCCCCCTCATTTTTGGGACCCTCCAAACTCATTTTTGGGACCCCCTCGGATTTTTGAGACCCCCGAGATTTTGGGGACCCCTGGAATTTTTGGGAGCCCTCGGATTTTTGGGACCTTCCAGGATTTTTGGGACCTTCCAGGATTTTTGGGACCCCCTCGGGATTTTGGGACCCCCTCGGATAATTTCGGAACCCCTCCTCATTTTCGACCCCTCAGATTTTGGGACCTTCCAGGATTTTGGGACCCTCCAGGATTTTGGGATCCCCTGGATTTTGGGAGCCCTCGATTTTTGGGACCCCCGGATTTTGGGCCCCCAAAATGTGTCCGTGGCTCTTCTGGCTCTGGGTGTCCCTGGGGCTCAGTGGAGGAGGGTGAGTGACTGACCTCTCGACCCCCGGGACCCTCGGGACCCCTGAAACCCCTCCAGACCCCCTGAGACCCCCTGGGACCCCCCTAAGATCCCCTGGGACCCCCTGGGACCCCTCGGGGACCCATCCGGATCCCCTGGGACCCCCAGACACCCCCGGAGACCCCCAGACCCTCCTGAGACCCCCGGGCCCCTGAACCCCCTGGACCCCCAAGACACCCTCAGGACCCCCGGGACCCCCCAGGACCCCCTGAGACCCCCCGGGACCCCCTGAGACTCCCTGAGAGCCCCCGGACCCCCTCTGAGACCCCCCTGGACCCACTTGAGACCCCCTGAGACCCCCCAGACCCCCTGAGACCCCCCGGGACCCACTCTGAGACCCCTCGAGACCCCCCCCAGACCCCCTGGGACCCCCATGGGACCCCTCGGGGACCCCCTGAGATCCCCCGGGGCCCCCTGGAACCCCCCTGACCCATCTGACCTCCCTGGGACCCCCAAGACACCCTCGGGAACTCCTCGAGACTCCCTGGGACCCCCCGGGGTGGGGGAGACCAGTTTGGGGTCCCGGGGTGGGCTTGGGTCTCCAGGGTGGGTTTGGGGTCCCGGGGTGTGTTTGGGGTCCTGGGATGGGTTTGGGTCCCCCCCCGGGTGTGTTTTGGGGTCCTGGGGTGTGTTTGGGGTCCCCTGGGTGGGTTTGGGGTCCCCGGGTGTGTTTGGGGTCCCTGGGTGGGTTTGGAGTCCCAGGGTGTGTTTTGGGGTCCCCCAGGTGTGTTTTGGGGTCCCGGGGTGGGTTTGGGGTCCCCCCCGGGGTGGGTTTGGGGTCCCCCCTGGGTGTCTTTTGGGGTCCTGGGGTGAGTTGGGGTCCTGGGATGGGTTTGGGGTCCCCTGGGTGTAGTTTTGGGGTCCCCGGGCATTGGGACTCCCTGAGCTCCCCACTCCTCCCCACCCCAGAGACCCTCCTGGACACGCGGCTGGAGACGAGCGACCTGAGATGGACCGTGCACCCCCAGGGGAGGGGCAGGTGGGGCACGGGGGCTGAGGCACTGGGGGACTGGGGGCACTGGGGGGCACTGGGGGACTGGGGGACTGGGGACATTGGGGACATTGGGGGATTGGGGGATTGGGGACACTGGGGATTGTGGACTTTGGGGGATTTGGAGACACTGGGGGATTGGGGGAATTGGGGACATTGGGGGATTGGGGGATTGGGGACATTGGGGGATTGGGGGAATTGGGGACATTGGGGACACTGGGGACACTGGGGGACTGGGGACTTTGGGGATTGGGGACATTGGGGATTGGGGATATTGGGGGCATTGGGGATTTGGGGACATTGGGGATTGGGGACACTGGGGGACACTGGGGGCATTGGGGGCACTGGGGGATTGGGGATATTGAGGGGATTTGGGGACATTGGGGACATTGGGGATTGGGGACTTTGGGGATTGGGGACATTGGGGACATTGGGGATTGGGGATATTGGGGGATTTGGGGGATTGGGGGACATCGAGGCCTTTGGGGACATTGGGGGATTGGGGGATTTGGGGACGTTGGGGGATTTGGGGACACTGGGGACATTGGGGACTTTGGGGGATTGGGGACTTTGGGGGATTTGGGGATTTGGGGACACTGGGGATTTGGGGATATTGGGGACACTGGGGGACTGGGAGCACTGGGGGACTGGGGGACTGGGGACATTGGGGGATTGAGGGGATTGGGGGATTGGGGACACTGGGGGATTGGGGGATTTGGGGAGGTTTGGGGGATTTGGGGACACTGGGGGTATTGGGGACACTGGGGACACTGGGGACATTGGGGAGATTGGGGGATTTGGGGACATTGGGGGCATTGAGGGGATTTGGGGACATTGGGGGATTGGGGACATTGAGGGGCACTGGGGGACTTGGGGACACTGGGGGACTGGGGACATTGGGGGATTGGGGACACTGGGGACACTGGGGGACTTGGGGGATTGGGTATATTGGGGGATTTGGGGGATTTGGGGACATTGGGGGATTGGGGACATTGGGGGATTTGGGGACGTTGGGGGACATTGGGGATTGGGGATTGAGGACATTGGGGACTTTGGGGGCATTGGGGGACATTGGGGGATTTAGGGACACTGGGGGATTGGGGACACTGGGGACACTGGGAGGATTGGGGATATTGGGGGATTTGGGGACGCTTGGGGAATTGGGGACACTGGGGGGGCACTAGGGGATTAGGGACACTGGGGACATTGGGGGATTTGGGGACATTGGGGGGGATTTTGGGGGATTGGGGGACATCGAGGCCTTTGGGGACAAGCAGGACGTTGGGGGACGGGGGAGGGGGGACAGGGTGTCCCCAAAGCCACTCACCGGTGTCCCCTATTTGTGTGTCCCCCCTTGTGTGTCCCCCTCTTTGTCCCCCTCAATCCCCTCAACTCCCCAATGTCCCCAAACCCCCCAATGTCCTCAATCCCCCAAAACCACCCCAATGTCCCCAATGTCCCCAAACCCCCAATGTCCCCAAACCCCCAATGTCCCCAATCCCTCAATCCCCCAATGTCCCCAATCCCCCAAACCCCTGATGTCCCCAAACCGCCTCAATGTCCCCAAACCCCCGATGTCCCCAATCCCTCAACCCCCAATGTCCCAAACCCCCAATGTCCCCAACCCCCAATGTCCCCAAACCTCCCGATGTCCCCAATCCCCTCAACCCCCAATGTCCCAAACCCCAATGTCCCCAACCCCCCAATGTCCCCAAAACTCCCCAATGTCCCCAACCCCCCAATGTCCCCAAAATCCCCCAATGTCCCCAAAATCCCCCAATGTCCCCAAACCCCCAATGTCCCCCCATCCCTCAATCCCCAATCCCCAAACTCCCCAATGTCCCCAATGTCCCCAATCCCCCCAACCCCCCCGGTGTGGGGTCAGTGGGAGGAGCTGTCGGGGCTGGACCCCGAGCTGGGGGCTCCCGTGAGGACGTTCGAGGTTTGCTCGGGCCGGGGTCCCCCCGGGCCCCCCCAGAACAGCTGGCTCCGATCGCGCTGGGTGCCCCGGGGGGAGGCCACCACCGTCCTGGCAGAGCTGCGCTTCACCCTCGTGGCCTGTGACAGCCTGCCCAGGCAGAGGGGGACACGGGACATCCCTGGGGACATCCCTGGGGTGACAGGGGACAGGGACAGCCTGCCCAGGGACAGGGGGACAAGGGACATCCCTGGGGACAGTGACAGCCTGCCCAGGGTGACAGGGGACAGGGACAGGGGGACAAGGGACATCCACAGGGACAGCCTGCCCAGGGTGACAGGGGACAGCCACAGCCTGCCCAGGGACAGGGGGACGAGGGACACCCACAGGGACAGGGACAGCCTGCCCAGGGTGACAGGGGACAGTGACAGCCTGCCCAGGGACACCCACAGGGACACCCACAGTGACAGACTGCCCAGGGACAGTGACAGCCTGCCCAGGGTGACAGGGGACAGGGACAGCCTGCCCAGGGACAGGGGGACAAGGGACACCTCTGGGGACATCCCTGGGGACGGGGACAGACTGCCCAGGCAGAGGGGGATGAGGGACATAAACAGTGACAGTGACAGCCTGCCCAGAGTGACAGGGGACAGGGGGACAGGGACATCAACAGTGACAGGGACAGCCTGCCCAGGGTGACAGGGGACAGCCACAGCCTGCCCAGGGACAGGGGGACAAGGGACACCTCTGGGGACAGGGACAGCCTGCCCAGGGACAGGGACAGGGACAGGGACAGCCACAGCCTGCCCAGGGACAGGGGGACACGGGACACCCACAGGGACATCAATAGGGACAGGGACACCCACAGGGACAGTGACAGCCTGCCCAGGGACACCCACAGGGACAGGGGGACAAGGGACATCCCTGGGGACATCCACAGGGACAGGGACATCAACAGGGACAGGGACAGCCTGCCCAGGGATAGGGGGACGAGGGACATCCCTGGGGTGACAGGGGACAGGGACATCAACAGGGACAGGGACAGCCTGCCCAGGGATAGGGGGACGAGGGACATCCCTGGGGTGACAGGGGACAGGGACATCAACAGGGACAGGGACAGCCTGCCCAGGGATAGGGGGACGAGGGACATCCCTGGGGTGACAGGGGACAGGGACATCAACAGGGACAGGGACAGCCTGCCCAGGGACAGGGACAGCCTGCCCAGGGACAGGGGGACAAGGGACATCCCTGGGGACAGGGACAGGGACAGGGACACCCCTGGGGACACCCACAGGGACAGGGGGACAAGGGACACCCACAGGGACAGCGACAGCCTGCCCAGGGACAGGGGGACACGGGACACCCACAGGGACATCCCTGGGGACAGGGACACCCACAGGGACAGGGAGACCCCCAGGGACACCCACAGGCGCCCTGGGGACTACGGTAACCATGGCAACGGCAACAACAACGGCCTCGACAACCACGGTCTCCATAGCAACGGCCCTGACAACTGCGGTTTCCATAGCAACAGCCACAACAATCGTGGTTACCACAGCAACGGCCTCGACAGCCACGGTCTCCATAGCAACGACCCCTACAGCCACAATCTCCATAGCAACGACCCCTACGACCACAGTTTCCATGGCAACGACCCTGAAGATGACCCCGGTGACCCCGATCTCCACGGCAATGGCCCCTACAGCCACAATCTCCATGGCAACGGCCCCTACAAACACAATCTCCATAGCAACGACCCCTACGACCACGATCTCCATGGCAACGACCCTGAAGATGACCCCGGTGACCCCAATCTCCATGGCAACAACCCCTACAACCACGATCTCCATAGCAACGACCCCTACAGCCACGGTTTCCATGGCAACAGCCCCGATGACCGTGACCTCCACAGCGATGACCCCTCAGACGTCCCTGAGGACTCCCCCTCCCCCTCCCCGTCCCTGTCCCTGTTCCACCCTCAGGGCCCCGCCCGGCGCCGCCGCAGCCCCCGGCCCGGCAGCCCCCGTCTCCCTCATCTCCCCCGTCCCATCTCCCCGTCCCTGCAAGGAGACGTTCACGGTGCTGTACCACGAGTCGGACACCGACACGGCCACGCCGTCGGCGCCGCCCTGGCTGGAGAACCCCTGGCTCAAGGTGGACACGGTGGCCGCCGAGCACCTGGCCCGGCCCGGGGGGAGCCCCGGGGGGAGCCCCAGGGGGGGTCCCGGGGGCCGCATCAACCGCAAGACGCTGCGCCTGGGCCCCCTGACGCGGGGGGGCTTCTACGTGGCCTTCCAGGACGTGGGGGCCTGCATGGCCCTGCTCTCCGTGCGCCTCTTCTTCCGCCGCTGCCCCGCGGCCGCCGCCCGCCTGGCGCGCTTCCCGCCCACCGTGCCCGCCGGCCTCGTGGCGCCCGTGCCCGGCTCCTGCCTGCCGGGGGCCGTGCCCGCCGCCCGCGGAGGGCCCCTCATGTACTGCCGCCAGGACGGGCGCTGGGAGCTGCCCCCCGCCCTGGGCTGCGTGTGCGCCCCGGGGAGGGAGCCCGCGGGGGATGAGGGGTGTCAGCGTGAGTGATTGAGGGGTTTGGGGGGCTTGGGGTCCTGGGGGTCACAGGGTCAGGGGGTCACAGGGTCAGGGATGGGGTGGGAGCTGCCCCCGCCCTGGGCTGTGTGTGCGCCCGGGAGGGAGCCTGCATGGGGATGAGGGGTGTCAGCGTGAGTGATTTGGGGGTTTAGGGGGTCCTGGGGGTCTGGGGGTCAGGGATGGGGGTGGGAGCTGCCCTCCGCCCTGGGCTGCGTGTGTGCCCGGGAGGAGCCTGCGGGGACGAGGGGTGTCAGCGTGAGTGATTTGGGGGAGTTTGGGGGTTGGGGTCCTGGGGGTCACAGGTGGCACTGGGAGCTGCCCCCAGCCCTGGGCTGCGCTCTGCGCCCGGGAGGGAGCCCGCAGGGGATGAGGGGTGTCAGCGTGAGTGATTGAGGGGTTTGGGGGTCCTGGGGGTCACAGGGGTCACAGGGGTCAGGGGGTCAGGGATGGGGGTGGGAGCTGCCCCCGCCCTGGGCTGCGTGCGCCCCGGGAGGGAGCCCGCAGGGGATGAGGGGTGTCAGCGTGAGTCACTGGGGGTTTGGGGGTCTGGGGGTCACAGGGGTCAGGGGGTCACAGGGGTCAGGGGGGTCACAGGGGTCAGGGGGTCAGGATGGGGGTGGGAGCTGCCTCCCGCCCTGGGCTGCGTGTGCCCCGGGAGGGAGCCTGCGGGGATGAGGGGTGTCAGCGTGAGTGATTTGGGGGCTTGGGGGATTGGGGGTCCTGGGTGGGTTTGGGGGTCCTGGGGGGTCAGGGGGTCAGGGGTCACAGGGGTTGGGGGTCACAGGGATCAGGGATGGGGTGGGAGCTGCCCCCGCCTCTGGGCTGCGTGTGCGCCCGGGAGGGAGCCCGCGGGGATGAGGGGTGTCAGCGTGAGTCACTGGGGGTTTGGGGGTTGGGGTCCTGGGGGTCACAGGGGTCCTGGGGTCCTGGGGGCCACAGGGGTCCTGGGGGGTCACAGGGTCACAGGGGCCGGGGGTCAGCAGGGGTCAGGGATGGGGGTGGAGCTGCCCCCGCCCTGGGCTGCGCGTGCGCCCCAGGGAGGAGCCTGCAGGGGACGAGGGGTGTCAGCGTGAGTGATTGGGGGTTTGGGGGTTTGGGGGTCCTGGGGGTCACAGGGATCAGGGATGGGGTCAGGGATAGCACTGGGAGCTGCTCCCCGCCCTGGGCTGCGTGTGTGCCCCGGGAGGGAGCCTGGAGGGGACGAGGGGTGTCAGCGTGAGTGATCTGGGGTCCTGGGGGTCACAGGGGACAGGGGGTTCACAGGGGTCAGGGGGTCAGGGATGGCACTGGGAGCTGCCCCCGCCCTGGGCTGCGTGTGTGCCCCGGGAGGAGCCTGCAGGGGATGAGGGGTGTCAGCGTGAGTGATTTGGGGGTTTGGGGGTTTGGGGGTCCTGGGGGTCACAGGGGTCAGGGATGGGGGTGGGAGCTGCCCTCCGCCCTGGGCTGCGTGTGTGCCCCGGGAGGGAGCCCGCGGGGGATGAGGGGTGTCAGCGTGAGTCACTGGGGGGTTTGGGGGTTTGGGGGTCCTGGGGGTTTAGGGGTCCTGGGGGTCAGGGATGGCGCTGGGAGCTGCCCCCGCCCTGGGCTGTGTGTGCCCCGGGAGGGAGCCTGCAGGGGATGAGGGGTGTCAGTGTGAGTGACCTGGGGGAGTTTGGGGGTCCTGGGGGTCTGGGGTCCTGAAGGGGTCACAGGGGTCAGGGGGTCAGGGATGGCCCCCAGCCCTGGGGAGGGGGTGGGTGCACTCCCAGGAGGGGTCGAGGGGTGTCAGCGTGACTGATTTGGGGGTGGGGTTGGGGGTTTGGGGTCGTGGGAGGGGTTTCTGGGAGGGGTCTGGGGGTGTATTTGAGGGGGGTCTGGGTGAGTCCTGGGGAGGGTCTCTGGGACCTTGGGTGTCTCTGGGGGTCCTGGGGGTGGGGTCTTTGGGGTTGATTTGGGGGGTCCTTGGGGGGTCTCTGGGGTTGGGTTTTGGGAGGGGTATTTGGGGTCCTGGGGGGTCTCTGGGGTTGGGTTTTGGGAGGGGTATTTGGGGTCCTTGGGGGTCTCTGGGGTTGGGTTTTGGGAGGGGTATTTGGGGTCCTGGGGGGTCTCTGGGGTTGGGTTTGGGAGGGGTATTTGGGGTCCTGGGGGTCTCTGGGGGTCTCTGGGTGAGTTCTGGCCTCCCATGACCCCTTTCCCCCCAGCGTGTCCCCCGGGACGTTCAAGGCGGAGCCGGGGGGTCGTTGCCTGCCCTGCCCCCCAGAGCGAAGCCCCTCCCCAGGGGCCTCCTCGTGCCGCTGCCGGCCCGGCTTCCTCAGAGACCCCTGGGAGGGACTCCCCGACCGCTGCTCCGGTGAGGGGGGCGGGGGGTGGGGGCATCTGGGGGATTGGGGGAATTAGGAGGGTCTGGGGGCTCTTGGGGGGTCTGGGGGCGTTTGGGGGATCTGGGGGCATTGGAAGGGGTTTTGGGGGTCCTGGGGGAGATTAGGGCCATTTGGGGGTCCTGGGGGACTGGAGCCATCTGGGGGTCCTGGGGGATTTTAGGGCCATTTGGGGGTCCTGGGGGAGATTGGGGCCATTCGGGGTCCTGGGGGATATTGGAGCCATTTGGGGGTCCTGGGGGGACTGGGAGGTTTTTGGGGGATCCTGGGAGGGATTTTGGGGCCATTTGGGGGTCCTGGGGGAGCCTGGGAGGTTTTTGGGGTGTCCTGGGGGCATTTTGGGGTCATCTGAGGGGTCTTGAGGTGCTTTATGGGGATATTTTGGGGAGGATGGGGGTCCTGAGTTGGTGGTGGGGGATTGGGAGGCATTTTGGGGATCCCGAAGTGGGGGATTGGGGGCTTGGGGGCATTTTGGGGGTCCTGAGGTGGTGGGGGGATTGGGGGCATTTTGGGGGTCCTGAGGTGGTGGTGGGGATTGGGGGGCATTTTGGGGTGGTCCTGAGGTGGGGGGTTGGGGGGTCCAATGGTGGTGGTGGGGATTGGGGGCATTTTGGAGGGATCCCGAGGTGGGGGCTTGGGGGCATTTTGGGGGTGCCGAGGTGGGGATTGGGGGCATTTTGGGGGTCCTGATGCGGTGGTGGGGGAGGTTGGGGGCATTTTAGGGGTCCTGAGGTGTGGAGGGGGGATATTGGGGGCATTTTGGGGTCGGGGTTGGGGGTTGTTGAGGGTCCGCAGCCCCACAAACGCCCCTCCCCCCGGTCTCGCAGCCCCCTCCGCCCCCCGCGCCCTGGCCGCGCACTCGAACGGCTCCGGGGGTGGTCGTGCTGTCCTGGAGCCCCCCGGGCGGGGAGCGGCCGACCTGCGGTACCACGTGACCTGCCGGGCCTGCCCCTCCCCACCCCCCCGCCCTCCCCCGTGCGGCCCCTGCGCCCACGTGACCTTCGAGCCCCCCCCCGAGGGGCTGCGCGACCCCCGCGTGCGGCTCGGGGGCTCCGGCCCCGCCTCCGGTACCTGCTCCGCGTCAGCGCCCGCAGCGACCTCGGAGACCCCCCCGGAGCCGCCCCCGGGGGCGCCTGGGCAGAGATCAACGTCACCCTGGGGGACGATGGTGAGACCCCCAAAAAAAAATAACCTTGAAAACATAGCCCCAAAAAACACGAAAAAATCACCCCAAAAAAAAACAAACCTTGAAAATGTCACCCCAAAAAACACGAAAACATCACCCAAAAAACTCAAAAAACATCCCCTAAAAAACACGACAGAAATCCCCAAAAACCACAAAAAACATCCCCTAAAAAACCTCAAAAAATCCCCAAAAAACTCAAAAAAAATCCCCTAAAAACCACAAAAAAACATCCCAAAAGCACAAAAAAACACCCAAAAACCACAAAAAACATCCCCTAAAAACCACGAAAGAAATCCCCAAAAACCTAAAAAAAATCCCCCAAAAAACACAAAAAATCCCCCAAAAAACATGAAAAATCCCCAAAAACCACCAAAAAATCCCCCAAAAACACAAAAACATACCCCAAAAACACAAAAAAATCCCCAAAACCACAAAAACATCCCCCCAAAACCCACAAAAAGCATCCCCCCAAAACCACAAAAATCATCCCCCAAAAAACACAAAAACCACCTCCAAAAAACCCCCAGAAACTCCCTCAAAATCCACTCCGACCCCAAAAGACAAACCCCCAAAAACCCCTCAAAAACTCCCAAAGACACCTCCAAAAACCCCCAACCCCCCAAAAAACACCCCCAAAAACCCCAAAACTCCTCAAACTCCCCAAATCCACCCCAAAACCTCTCCCTGACCCCCCGTGCCCTCCCCAGTGCCCCCCGGTGTCGGACGTGGTTCGGGTCGGGGGTCCCCGGGGGTCACCTTGGCCTGGCTCCAGCCCTCTGGGACCTCCGGGACCCCCATCCTGGACTACGAGGTCAAGTACTACGAGAAGGTGGGGGCCTGGGGGGCTTTGGGGGGTTGGGGGTCCTGGGGGTCCTGGGGTCATTTTGGGGGTCCCTGGGGGTCCGGGAGGTTGGGGGTCCCTGGGGGAGGTTCCCTGATTTTGGGTGGGGGTCCTTGAGTTTGGAGGGGTCTCTGTGTGTATTTGGGGGTGGTCCCTGATTTTGGGGGTCCCTGATTTTGGGGGGTCCCTAGGGTGGTCCCTGATTTTGGGGGTACCCCCATCATCTGGGAGGTGGGGAGGGGTCTCTGTGTGTATTTGGGGGTCTCTGTGTGTATTTGGGGGGTGGTCCCTGATTTTGGGGTCCCCCCGCAGTTAGGGGTGGGGAGGGGTCTCTGTGTGTGTTTGGGGGTCTCTGTGTGTTTGGGGGTGGTCCCTGATTTTGGGAGGGTCTCTGTGTGTATTTGGGGGGTGGTCCCTGATTTTGGGGGTCCCCCCCGCAGTTGGGGGGTGGGGAGGGGTCTCTGTGTGTATTTGGGGGGGTGGTCCCTGATTTGGGGGTCCCCCCCCGCAGTTGGGGGGTGGGGAGGGGCCCCCCCTGTTCCTGAAGGTTCCGCAGGCGCGGGCGGAGCTGGGGGGGCTGCGCCGGGGGGGCCTCTACGGGGTGAGGGTCCGAGCCCGGAACAGGGAGGGCTACGGAGACTTCGGGCCAGAGACCACCATCAGTGCCCCTGGAGCGGGTGAGACCCCCAAAATCACCCCAAATAACCCCAAAATAACCCCAAAATAACCCCAAAATAACCCAAAATCACCCCAAAATAACCTGAAATAACCCCAAAATACCCCCTGAAACCCCCCACCATCAGTGCCCCTGCAGCGGGTGAGACCCCCAAAATAACCCCAAAATAACCCCAAAATAACCCAAAATCACCCCAAAATAACCCCAAAATAACCTGAAATAACCCCAAAACACCCCCTGAACCCCCCCCCCCATCAGTGCCCCTGGAGCGGGGGGAGAGACCCCAGAATAACCCAAAATAACCTGAAATAACCCCAAAATACCCCAAATATTGAAACATAATCCTGAACTACCCAAAATCTCCCCAAAATGACCCCAAATCACCCCAAAATAACCCCAAATCACCCCAAAGTAGCCCAAAATGACCCCAAAGAACCCTGACCCCCCCTGCCCTCCCCAAACAATCCTGAGCCCCCCTCGGATCCCCCAACCCTCCCTCAAATCCCCCCCCCAAAACCTCCCAAAACCCCTCTAAAACCTCCCCAAACCCCTCAAATCGCTCCTCAAATCCCCCAAAGCCCCCTGACTGTGCCCCTCCCCACAGAGGGGGCCCGAGGGCCCGGGGGTCGTGGCGAGCCGCCGCCCTGGGGGCTCCTGGTGCTGCTGCTGCTGGGGGTCCTGCTCTGCCTCAGGTGAGGGGGGCTGGGAGGGGCTTTGGGGGTCCTGGGGGATTTGGGGGTCCTGCAGGGGTTTAGAGGGGTTTTGGGGGATCTGGGGGTCTGGGGGTCCTGGGAGGGAGTTTGGGGGATTTTGGGGGTCCTGGAGGGAGTTTGGGGGATTTGGGGGTCCTGGGGGGTTTAGAGGGGATTGGGGGGATTTGGGGGTCTGGGGGTCCTGGGGGTTTTAGAGGGGATTTTGGGGGTCCTGGGGGCGTTTGAGGGGTTTTGGGGGATTTGGGGGATTTTGGGGTCCTGGGGGAGTCTGGGGGATTTGGGGGTCCTGGGGAGGAGTTGAGGAGGATTTGGGGGTCTGGGGGGTTTAGAGGGGATTCCTGGGGGGTTTAGAGGGGATTTGGGGATTTTGGGGGTCCTGGGGATTTTGGGGGTGGATTTGGGGCCCTCTGGGGGTCTCACCCTGTATCACCTCCCCCTCCCCCTCCTCGTGTCCCCTCAGGCGGCTCCGGGGAAGAAGCAGCAAAACAGCCCCAAAAACGGTGAGGGGGGGCTGGAAACGACCCCAAAATGACCCCAAATGGCCCAAAATGGCCCCAAATGGCCCAAAATGGCCCCAAAATGACCCCAAATGGCCCCAAAGTCCCAAAGGGCCTCAAATGTCCTGAAATGGCCCCAAAATGTCACCAAAAAGTCCCAAAACGTCCCCGAATGGCCCCAAAAATGTGGCCCCAAAAATGTCTCCCCAGTGGCCCCAGGTGACCCCGAAGCGACCCCAAAGTGACCCCAAATGTCACCAAATGGCCCCCAAACGACCCCAAATGACCCCAAAAGCGCCCCAGGTGACCCTGGGTGGTCCCAGTGACCCCAAACTGACCCCAAACCGACCCCAAATGACCCCAAACTGCCCCAAAGTGACCCCAAATCCCCTCCCGGGCAGGGGGGAAGCTCTACATCGACCCCCTGACCTACGAGGAGCCCGAGCTGGCCCTGAGGGACTTCGCGCAGGAGATCGACGTCACCTGGGTCACCATCGACGAGGTCATCGGGGCAGGTGACCCCCCAAAACCCCACAGAGACCCCCAAAACCCTACAGAGACCCCCAAACCCCCAAAACCCCCCCAAAAACCCCTGACCCCACAGAGACCCCCAAACCCCACAGAGACCCCAAAGAGACCCCCTGATCGACGCTCACCTGGGTCACCATCGACGAGGTCATCGGGGCAGGTGACCCCAAACCCCACAGAGACCCCAAAACCCCCAAAACCCCCAAAACCCCTGACCCCACAGAGACCCCAAAACCCCACAGAGACCCCTGATCGATGTCACCTGGGTCACCATCGACGAGGTCATCGGGGCAGGTGACCCCCCTGGGACCCCCAAAACCCCACAGAGAGCCCCCAAAACCTCTCTGGGACCCCAAAACCCCTGAGACCCCCAAAACCTCCTCAAACCCCCCAAAAACCCCTGACCCCACAGAGACCCCCAAAAAACCCCCCCAAAAACCCCTGACCCCACAGAGAGCCCCAAAACCCCACAGAGACCCCCCCAACCTCCCCCCAATACCTGGGGGGTATTTTGGGGTGGTTTTGGAGGTATTTTGGGGTCCCAGATCCATTTTTGGGGGTCCCAGCTCCGTTTTCCCCCCAGGTGAATTCGGGAGGTGTGGCGGGCCGGCTGGGTTTGGGGTGGTGTTGGGGGTATTTAGGGGTGGTTTTGGGGGTATTTTGGGGTATTTTGGGGGTCCCAGCTGTGTTTTGGGGGTCCCAGCTCCGTTTTCCCCCCCAGGTGAATTCGGGGAGGTGTGGCGGGGCCGGCTGGCGGTGCCGGGGTGGTTTGGGGGTATTTAGGGGTGGTTTTGGGGTATTTTGGGGTATTTAGGGGTGGTTTTGGGGTATTTTGGGGTCCCGGATCCATTTTTTGGGGTCCCGGATCCATTTTTTGGGGTCCCAGATCCATTTTTGGGGGTCCCAGCTCCATTTTTCCCCCCAGGTGAATTCGGGGAGGTGTGGCGGGGCCGGGGTTGTTTTGGGGGTATTTTGGGGTGGTTTTTGGGGTATTTTGGGGTGGTTTTGGGGGTATTTTGGGGTCCTGGATCCATTTTTGGGGGTCCCAGCTCCATTTTTCCCCCCCCAGGTGAATTCGGGGAGGTGTGGGGAGTAGTGTTGGCGGTGCCGGGGGTGGTTTTGGGGTATTTTGGGGTATTTTGGGGTTATTTTGGGGTGGTTTTGGGGTATTTAGGGGTGGTTTTGGGGTATTTTGGGGGTCCCAGCTGTGTTTTGGGTGTCCCAGCTCCGTTTCCCCCCCCCAGGTGAATTCGGGGAGGTGTGGCGGGGCCGGCTGGCGGTGCCGGGGTGGTTTTTGGGGTATTTTGGGGTCCCGGATCCATTTTTGGGGGTCCCAGCTGTGTTTTCCCCCCCCTTCCAGGTGAATTCGGGGAGGTGTGGCGGGGCCGGCTGGCGGTGCCGGGGCAGCCCGAGCTGGAGGTGGCGGTGAAGACGCTCAAGGGGGGCGCGGGGCCGGGGCAGCGCCGCGAGTTCCTGCGCGAGGCGGCGCGGATGGGGCAGTTCCGCCACCCCAACGTGCTGCGCCTGCGCGGGGTCGTCACCGCCGGGCCCCCCCCCATGATCCTCACCGAGTTCCTGCTCCACGGGGCCCTCGACGCCTTCCTCAGGGTAACGGGGCGGGGGTTGGGGGATCTGGGGGGTCTGGGGGGTTTGGGGATTCGGGGGATTGGGGGTTTGGGGATTTGGGGTGTTTGGGGGGTTTGGGGATTTGGGTGTTTGGGGGTTTGGGGAATTTGGGGATTTGGGGTTTTGGGGATTGGAGTGTTTGGGGTATTGGGGGTGTTTGGGATATTTGGGGGATTTGGGGGGATTTGGGGGGATTGGGGATACTGGGGACACTGGGGACTCTGTAGATGGTGGTCATGACCCCACAGTGACCCCGATGACCCCAGTGACCCCAGTGGTGACCCCAATGACCCCTGTGTGACCCCCAGGGCTGGGAGGGCACGCTGTCCCCGCTCCAGCTGGTGTCCATGACCCCAACGACCCCAGTGACCCCTGTGTGACCCCAGGGCCGGGAGGGCACGCTGTCCCCGCTCCAGCTGGTGGCCATGACCCCAATGACCCCAATGGTGGTCCCAGTGACACCAGTGACCCCAATGGTGACCCCACAGTGACCCCAATGACCCCTGTGTGACCCCAGTGACCCCCCAATGTCCCCAGGGCCGGGAGGGGACGCTGTCCCCGCTCCAGCTGGTGGCCATGCTGCGGGGCATCGCGGCCGGGATGTGCTGACCCCAATGGTGACCCCAATGACCCCAATGCTGACCCCAATGGTGACCCCAATGACCCCCCCATGTCCCCAGGGCCGGGAGGGCACGCTGTCCCCGCTCCAGCTGGTGGCCATGCTGCGGGGCATCGCGGCCGGGATGCGCTGACCCCAATGACCCCAATGACCCCAATGGTGACCCCAATGACCCCAATGACCCCTGTGTGACCCCAGTGACCCCTGTGTGACCCCCAGGGCCGGGAGGGCACGCTGTCCCCGCTCCAGCTGGTGGCCATGCTGCGGAGCATCGCGGCCGGGATGCGCTGACCCCAATGACCCCAATGACCCCAATGACCCCAATGGTGACCCCAATGACCCCAATGGTGACCCCAGTGACCCCAATGACCCCAATGTGACCCCCCAATGCCCCCAGGGCCGGGAGGGGACGCTGTCCCCGCTCCAGCTGGTGGCCATGCTGCGGGGCATCGCGGCCGGGATGCGTTACCTGTCGGAGGCCGGGTTCGTGCACCGGGACCTGGCGGCGCGGAACATCCTGGTGGACGCTCACCTGGTCTGCAAAGTGTCCGACTTCGGCCTCTCCCGCGCCCTGGAGGGGGACGGGGCCAACGACCCCACCTACACCAGCTCCCTGGTGAGAGACCCCCAAATATCCCCTGAGACCCCCCAAAATACCCCCAAATACCACCTGGGACCCCCTGAGACCCCACCTACACCAGCTCCCTGGTGAGAGACCCCCCCCAAATACCCCCCTGGGACCCCACCTACACCAGCTCCCTGGTGAGAGACCCCCCCAATACACCCCAGAGACCCCCCAAATACCACCTGGGACCCCCTGAGACCCCACCTACACCAGCTCCCTGGTGAGACGACCTCCCATACCCCCCAGAGACCCCCAAATAACCCCCAATACTCCCCCAAACATCCCCCAAATACCTCCCCAAATACCCCCCCAAATAACCCCCCCAAATACACCCGCAAATACCCCCAAATACCCCCTAAATACCCCCTGAGACCCCTCAAATACCCCCAAATACCCCGAATACCCCCAAATACCCCTGGGACCCCACCTACACCAGCTCCCTGCTGAGAGACCCCCAAATACTCCCCCAAGAGACACCCCCCAATACACTCCCCCAAATACCCCCAAATACCCCCCCAAACATCCCTCTAAAATGCCTCCAAATACCCCCAAATACTCCCTGAGACCCCACTCCACCCCAGCACTGACGACTCCCACCTACACCAGCTCCCTGGTGAGAGACCTCCAAACACCCCCAAATGCTCCTGGACCCCCAAATACCTCTCTGGGACCCCCAGACATGCCCCAAATTGCAGGGGGAAGATCCCGATCCGCTGGACGGCTCCCCAAGGCCACTGCCCCTCCTGAGGCCCCGGGGATTTGGGGTCCCTGGGGTTTTGGGGGTCCCTGGTGGATTCTGGGGTCCCTGGGGTTTTGGGGTCCCTGGTGGGTTTTGGGGTCCCTGGGGGTTCTGGGGCTCCCTGGGGATTTGGGGCTCCTGGGGATTTGGGGCTCCTGGCGGGTTTTGGGGCCCCTGGGGGATTTGGGGTCCCTGGTGGGTTTTGAGGTCCCTGGGGGTTCTGGGGTCCCTGGTGGTTTTGGGGTCCCTGGGGTTCTGGGGACTTCTGACCCCACCGTTGGCAGGGGGAAGATCCCGATCCGCTGGACGGCCCCCGAGGCCATCGCCTCCTGCAGCCTCCACCTGGCGGATTTGGGGCTCCCTGGGGGTTTGGGGTCCTGGGGATTTGGGGTCCTGTGGGCATGTGGGAGGATGTTAGGCTCCCGGGGATTTGAGGCTCCCTGGGGATCTGGGGTCCCTGAGCGGTCTTGGGTCCCTAGGGCCTCTGGAGACCCCTGACCCCCGAACCGCCTGGCAGGGCGAAAGATCCCCAGATCCGCCTGGACGGCCCCCGAGGCCACCGCCCGCCGCACCTTCACCCCCGGCCAGCGACGCCTGGAGCTCACCCCGGACTCGCTCAGTCGTGGGAGGTGCTGAGCTTCGGGGAGAGGCCCTACTGGGACATGTCCAACCAGGACGTGAGTCACCCAAATCAGACCCAAAACCTCCCGACCACCTGAACCCCAAAAACCCTGGCCCCAGAACCACCTGGAACCACCTGGAACCCCAAAACCCCCCAGACTCCCCCAGTTCATACGGGAGGTGCTGAGCTTCGGGAGAGCCCAAACTGGGGCGTGTCCAACCAGGACGTGAGTCACCCCAAAATCTGAGACCCCAAAGACCCCCTTGAGCCCCCAGAACCACCTGGAACCCCCAAAAACCCCCCAAAAACACCCCCAAAACCCCCCAGACTCCCCAGTTCACACTGGAGGGGCTGAGCTTCGGGGAGAGGCCCTACTGGGACATGTCCAACCAGGACGTGAGTCACCCCAAAATCCACACCCCAAAAACCCACCTAGAACCACCTGGAACCCCCGAAACCCCCCAGAACCACCTGGAACCCCAAAGCCCCAGGCCCCCCAGAACCACCTGGAACCCCTAGCCCCCCAGACTCCCCCAGTTCACGTGGGAGGTGCTGAGCTTCGGGGAGAGGCCCTACTGGGACATGTCCAACCAGGACGTGAGTCACCCCAAAATCCACACCCCAAAAACCCCCCCTGAGCCCCTCCAAACCCACAACCCCCCCTGGAATTACCCTCATCGCTCACCTGTCCCTCACCTGTCCCAGGTGGTCGACACCATTGAGCAGGACTCCCTGTGTGCCTCATCTGTCCCTCTCTCACCTCACCTGTGCCACCTGTCCCTCACCTGTCCCTCACCTGTCCCACCTGTCCCTCACCTGTCCCTCACCTGTGCCACCTGTCCCTGTGCCACCTGTGCCAGGTGATCAATGCCATCGAGCAGGATTACCTGTGTCATTCTCTGTCTCACCTGTCCCAGGTGATCAATGCCATCGAGCAGGATTACCTGTGTCATTCTCTCACCTGTCTCACCTGTGCCAGGTGATCAATGCCATCGAGCAGGATTACCTGTGTCATTCTCACCTGTCCCTCACCTGTCTCAGGTGATCAATGCCATCGAGCAGGATTACCTGTGTCATTCTCACCTGTCTCACCTGTGCAGGTGATCAATGCCATCGAGCAGGATTACCTGTGTCATTCTCTGTCTCACCTGTCTCACCTGTGCAGGTGATCAATGCCATCGAGCAGGATTACCTGTGTCATTCTCTGTCTCACCTGTGCCAGGTGATCAATGCCATCGAGCAGGATTACCTGTGTCATTCTCTGTCTCACCTGTGCAGGTGATCAATGCCATCGAGCAGGATTACCTGTGTCATTCTCTCACCTGTCTCACCTGTCCCTCACCTGTCCCAGGTGATCAATGCCATCGAGCAGGATTACCTGTGTCATTCTCTCACCTGTCTCACCTGTGCCAGGTGATCAATGCCATCGAGCAGGATTACCTGTGTCATTCTCTCACCTGTCTCACCTGTCTCACCTGTGCCAGGTGATCAATGCCATTGAGCAGGATTACCTGTGTCATTCTCTCACCTGTCTCACCTGTCTCACCTGTCCACCTGTCTCAGGTGATCAATGCCATCGAGCAGGATTACCTGTGTCATTCTCTCACCTGTCTCACCTGTGCAGGTGATCAATGCCATCGAGCAGGATTACCTGTGTCATTCTCTCACCTGTCTCACCTGTCTCACCTGTGTCAGGTGATCAATGCCATCGAGCAGGATTACCTGTGTCATTCTCTCACCTGTCTCACCTGTGCCAGGTGATCAATGCCATCGAGCAGGATTACCTGTGTCATTCTCTGTCTCACCTGTGCCAGGTGATCAATGCCATCGAGCAGGATTACCTGTGTCACTCTCTGTCTCACCTGTCCCAGGTGACCAATGCCATCGAGCAGGATTACCTGTGTCATTCTCTCACCTGTCTCACCTGTCTCACCTGTGTCTCACCTGTGTCAGGTGATCAATGCCATCGAGCAGGATTACCTGTGTCATTCTCTCACCTGTCTCACCTGTGCAGGTGATCAATGCCATCGAGCAGGATTACCTGTGTCATTCTCACCTGTCCCTCACCTGTCCCAGGTGATCAATGCCATCGAGCAGGATTACCTGTGTCATTCTCTGTCTCACCTGTCCCTCACCTGTGTCAGGTGATCAATGCCATCGAGCAGGATTACCTGTCTCACCTGTCTCACCTGTGCCAGGTGATCAATGCCATCGAGCAGGATTACCGCCTGCCGCCGCCGCCGCTCTGCCCGCCCCCCCTGCACCGCCTGATGCTGCAGTGCTGGCAGCGCGAGCGCCGCGCCCGCCCCACCTTCCCCCGCATCGTCCACGCCCTCGACCGCCTCATCCGCCACCCCCACACCCTCAGGGTCACCCCCACGGACCCCCACAGGTGAGGGGGGGGCAAGGGGAGGGGGCCCAGCACACCTGGATCAGTTTTTGGGGGGGTCTCAGAACACCTGGATCAGTTTTGGGGGTGGTGTCAGAACACCTGGATCAGTTTTTGGGAGGGGTCTCAGCACACCTGGATCAGTTTTTTGGGGGTCTCAGAACACCTGGATCAGTTTTTGGGGGGGGCCCAGCACACCTGGATCAGATTTTGGGGGGTCCCAGAACACCTGAATCAGTTTTTGGGGGGGGGATCTCAGCACACCTGGATCAGTTTTTGGGGGGTCTCAGCACACCTGGATCAGTTTTTGGGGGGGGTCTCAGAACACCTGGATCAGTTTTGGGGAGGTGTCCCAGCACACCTGGATCAGTTTTGAGGAGGGTCTCAGAACACCTGGATCAGTTTTTGGGGGGTCCCAACACACCTGGATCAGTTTTTGGGGGGGTCTCAGCACACCTGGATCAGTTTTTGGGGGGGTCTCAGAACACCTGGATCAGTTTTTGGGTGGGGTCTCAGAACACCTGGATCAGTTTTTGGGGGATCTCAGCACACCTGGATCAGTTTTTGGGGGTCTCAGCACACCTGGATCAGCTTTTGGGGGGTCTCAGAACACCTGGATCAGTTTTTGGGGGGTCTCAGCACACCTGACGCTTTGGGTGGTCCCAGCACCTGATCAGTTTTGGGGGGTGCTCAGCACACCTGGATCAGTTTGGGAGGGTCCCAGAACACCTGGATCAGGTTTTGGGGGTCTCAGCACACCTGGATCAGTTTTTGGGAGGTCCCAGCACACCTGGATCAGTTTTTGGGTGGTCCCAACACACCTGACCCCCTAGCTGTTGGACCCCCCAGCTGTGGGGTGGGGGATTTTGGGGTACCCAGAGTCTGACCGACCCCCTCTCTCCCTGCAGCCCTCCCCCACCTGCCCGGAGCAGCGCAGCCCCCGAGGACCCCCTGGCCCCCCTCGGCCCCCGGGCCCCGCCCGGCCCTGGGTGGGAGAGGGGCTGAGGGCCTGGGGGTGGGGGTACAAGGAGCCCTTTTGCAGCGGGTACGGGGCAAAGGGGGCTGGAGGGGCACTGGGGGACTGGGGGCTGGGGAGTCCTGGGGGTTCCTGGGAGGTGTGGGAGGGTCTGGGGTGGTGAAAGGGGCTGCGAGTCCAAGGGAGGGTGATGGGAGGTCGGGGTGGGCACGGGGGGCACGAGGGGTGTTTGGGAACCCAGCGGTGACCCCCCAGTGACCCCTCCCCTCTCCCCACCCAGGGACCTGCTGAGCGCGGGGGTGGCGCCGACCGGGCACCAGCAGCGGGTCCTGGAGGGTGCCTGGAGCCTGCAGAGCCCCCCCAAAGGGGACCCCCAGTGCTGACCCCCCCTCCCAGCCCCCAGCCCAGCCTGGGGCAAGATGGCGCCGCCAGGAGCGGCACTGACGGACTGAGCTGGCTTGGGAGGCAAAATGGCGGCCGGGACAACATGGCCGCTCTTCCAACATGGCCGCTGTTCCAACATGGCCGCTGTTCCAACATGGCTGCCAAAATATGGCTGCTGTTCCAATATGGCTGCCAAGACAACATGGCCGCTGTTCCAATATGGCTGCCAGGACAACATGGCCACTGTTCCAGTATGCTTTCAAATGCCCACCTTTCCAACACGGCCCCCATTCCAAGATGGCCACTGATCCACCAGGGCTGCTGGCCCAGCACAGCTGCAGTTCTGAGTCAGCTGCCAGGCCAAGATGGGCCCCGGGCCAAAATGGACACCAGGCCAAGATGGCCACCAAGCCAAGATGGCCGCCCACACAACAAGGCTGCCATTACAATATGGCCCCTGATCCAAGATGGCCCCCGATCCAAGATGGCTGCCACCCCAAGCCCAGGCATTGCCCTATGACGTCATCACAGCCCGGTGTGATGACATCACTGGCCCCGCTCATCCAATCGATGACGTCACCGGGGGAACAAGGGCGTGGCCGGGGAGGTGGTGATGTCACCCACCCCGATGACGTCACAGCCGGCGGAGCAGCACCTGAGAGGGCGTGGTCAATGTGGGCGTGGCCAGGGTGGGCAGGGCCCCCTCCCCCCCCAAATGTTTCCAGGAATTAATTCACTAATTAATTAATTAATTGGTTGTTCCGTAATTTGCCCCCGAATTCCGGGTGGGAGCCAATGAAACGCGAGGGTGCAAAGAGGGCGGCCGGGGGGAGGGTGGGGAGGGGCACCAGGGACATTTTGGGGACATTTGGGGACACTTTTGGAGATCTCAGGGGGATTTGGGGATTGATTTTGGGGGATTTGGGGACATTTTCGGGAGTTTGGGGACATTTTGGGGGCTCAGGGACACTTTGGGGGATCTGAGGGGGTTTTGGGGATTTGGGGACATTTTTGGGAGGGATCTGGGGTTTTGGGGGGATTTGGGGACACTTTGGTGGAATCTGGGGGATTTGGGACATTTTGGGGATCTGGGGATTTGGGGGATTTGGGGACATTTTGGGGATCTGAGGGAGGGCTTTGGGGGATTTGGGGACACTTTGGGGGATCTGGGGGTTTTGGGGTCTAGGACATTTGGGGGATCTGAGGGGTTTTAGGGGATTTGGGGACATTTTGGGGGATCTGAGGGGGTTTGGGGGTGGTTTGGGGACATTTTGGGGATCTGGGGGGATTTGGGGACATTTTGGGGGATCTAGGGATGGTTTTGGGGATCTTGGGGGGCTTTGGGGGATTTGGGGACATTTTGAAGGGATTTGGGACATTTTGGGGATCTGAGGGTTTTGGGGGGATTTGGGGACATTTGGGGGATCTGGAGGGTTTTGGGGATTTGGGGACATTTGGGGGATCTGGGGGTTTTTGGGGATCTTGGGGGTTTTGGGGGATCTGGGGGTTTTGGGGGATCTGGGGGTTTTGGGGGGATTTGGGACATTTTGGGGGTATCTGAGGGGGCTTTTGGGGGCATTTGGGGACATTTTGGAGGATCTGGGGTTTTGGGGAGGGATTTGGGGACACTTTGGTGGTATCTGAGTGGGGGATTTGGGGACACTTTGGGAGGATCGGGTTTGGGATTTGGGGACACTTTGGGAGGGGTTTTGGAGGCAAAGACAGGGAGAGGGGGAGGGCAGGCCCATGGTTCCCTCTCCAGGGCAGTTTCGAGCGTTTCCCCTTCACGAAAGGAACCATTCGGAGCCGCCGCCCTCCCCACCCTTCAACCTCAAATTGGGGTCCCCAAATCCAGGGGGCCGCCCTCCCCACTCTGGAGGGTCCCAAAAATCCCCCTCCCCCATTTTTTTCCCTTTGGCCCCCAAATTTGGAGCCCCTCCCCACCCCCCAGGGGCCCCCTCAAAATCGGGGCCTTCCCGGCCCCAGACCCCTCCGTATTTTGGGGAGTCCCGCTGTGTGGGGAGGGCTCTCCCACCCCTCAAGCCCCGCCCCTTCCCCTCAAAGCCCCGCCTTTTCCTCCTCAAGCCCCGCCCCTTTTCCCCTTGCCCAATCCCCTCCATCGCCGGCCGCGGCCACGCCCTTTTAACCCCGCCCTCAGTGGGCGTGGTTTAAAGGCGTTGAACCAATCGCAGCGCGCCGTGGGGCGGTCCCAACCAATCGGCGCGCGGCGTGGGCGTGGCCAAAACCCTTCTTAAAGCGGCAGCGTCGGGGGGGCCGCCCCGAACCGGCCCAGGCGATGTCGGCGAGTCACGACAGTCGGTGCGACTTTTGGGGGAGGGGGTTTGGGGGGATTTCGGGGATTTGGGGGTTTAATGAGGTCCTGAGGGGGAGGGGCGGTGAGAAATGCCGAGTGGGGAGGGGCGCGATTTTTTTGTGGGGGGAAAAGGGGGCTGGGGGTTCGGAGGGTGGGGAGGGGCGCTGGGAAGGTCCTGCGTGGGGAGGGGCGCCGAGAACTCCGGGGGTGGGTAGGATTTGATTTTGAGGGCGATTCCCGGGGGTTTCATGGCCGATAAATCCTCCCCCTTTTTCTTCATTTCCTCCTCATTTTTTCCTTCGATTTTTGTTTTAATATTTTTCTCCTTCCCCCGATATTTAATAATAATTTTCTTATATTTTGTCTTGCCCTCCCCTTTTACTCCTCCCCTGCCCCCGTTTTCTCTCGATTCCCCGTGTTTTCCTCCTTTTTTTCCCCTTTCTGTGCCTTTTTCCCCTCGGATTTTTTTCCTTTTCCCTCCCATTTTTCGGCGCTTCCGGAGTTGTTTTTTCTTCCCCGAACCCCTCCTTCAATCCCCTTTATTGTTTTTCCACCCCTCACTTCTTTTTTTTTCTCTCTTTCCATTTTCCCTTCTTTTTCCTCCTTTTTTTCCCTTTTTTTTTCTACTCTTTTCTCCCGATTTTCCCCGTTTTTGGCGGTTTTTTGAGCGGTTTTTTTGGCCCCTCCCCGACCCCGCCCTTAAATCCCCTCCCTCCCCCTCTGCTGACAATCCTCCTTTTTCTCCCTTTTTCTCCTTTTTCCCCTTTTTCCCCGATTTTTGGGGTCTCCCCAAAACCACGTGGCCGCCCGCGCGCTCCTTGTGAGTGACGTCACCGGCGGCGCCTGCTCCTGATTGGTCGGCTGGACGGAAACGAGGGCGGAGCTTCCGCCGCGGCCGCTTCCGATTGACGATTGAGGAGGAAGCGGGGGCGGAGCTTCCTGTGGGCGCTTCCGGGGGCCCACGTGGGGGTGGGGAGGGGAAATGGGGAGGGTCAAAGGTCACGACGTGTCGCGATATCTGTCGCGATATCGCCCCGACAGAGCCCGAGAGAGGGAAAATGGACCCGAGGGGATGGAACCGGACGGCGTCATCGAGGTGAACTGGGCGGACTGGGGGGACTGGGAGGGGGCTGAGCCAAACTGGGATGGACTGGGAGGGGTTCAGGCCCTGCTGGGCGTACTGGGATGGGCCCCAGTCCTGACTGGGAGCGGCTCTGCCGAACTGGGGCTGCACCGGGAGGTGCCCGGAGCTCTGGTGGTCCTTACTGGTCCTTACTGGTCCTTACTGGTGCCCCCCAGAGCAACTGGCACGAGGTGGTGGACTCGTTCGACGAGATGAACCTTTCGGAGCCGCTGCTCAGGGGCATCTACGCCTACGGCTTCGAGAAACCCTCGGCCATCCAGCAGAGAGCCATCCTGCCCTGCATCAAAGGTAGGGCCCTGGGACCCCCAAAAACCTACAGAAACCCCCCAAAAATACTCCTAAATCCTGAAAAACCCAGCCCAAATCAGAGCCATCCTGCCCTGCATCAAAGGTGGAACCCAAAAACCCCCAAAATACCCAAACCTGAAAAACCAACCCAAACCAACCCATCCTGCCCTGCATCAAAGGTGGGGCCTCCAAAAACCCCCCAAAAACCTTCACATCCCCCCCAAAATACCCCAAATCCTGAAAAAAACCAGCCCAAACCAACCCATCCTGCCCTGCATCAAAGGTGGGACCCCCAGAAACCCCCCAAAAATACCCAAACCTGCCCTAAATGAACCCAAAAACCTCCCAGCAGAGAGCCATCCTGCTCTGCATCAAAGGTGGGACCCCAAAAACCCCCCAAAAATACCCCAAATCCTGAAAAAAACCAGCCCAAACCAACCCATCCTGCCCTGCATCAAAGGTGGGACCCTGGGTCCCCCAAAAATACCCCAAACCCTGATAAAAACCAACCCAAACCAACCCATCCTGCCCTGCATCAAAGGTGGGGCCTTGGGACCCCCAAAAACCCCCCAAAAATACCCCAAATCCTGATAAAAATCAACCCATCCTGCCCTGCAGCAAAGGTGGGACCCCTAAAAACCCTCAGAAACCCCCTAAAAATACCCCAAATCCTGAAAAAAACCAACCCATCCTGCCCTGCATCAAAGGTGGGGCCCTCAGAGCCCTGGGACCCCCCAAAACCTACAGAACTCCCCCCAAAAATACCCCAAATCCTGAAAAAAACCAGCCCTAACCAACCCATCCTGCCCTGCATCAAAGGTGGGACCCCAAAAACCCCCCAAAAATACCCAAACCTGCCCTAAACGAACCCCAAAAAACCCCCCAGCCCCCTGTGACGTCACTGCCCCCGTTATGACGTCACCCTGCGGCGTCCCCGTTTGATGACGTCACTGTGCCCCGCCCCCAGGCTATGACGTCATCGCGCAGGCGCAGTCGGGCACCGGCAAAACGGCCACGTTCGCCATCTCCATCCTGCAGCAGGTGGAGCTCGACCTCAAGGCCACCCAGGCGCTCGTGCTGGCCCCCACCCGCGAGCTGGCCCAGCAGGTAACCAGTACGGACCAGTATAAACCAGTACAGACCAGTATGGGCCAGTCCGGACCAGTATAGAGCTCTATGGTTCAATAGACAGACCTAAAAACCAGTATGGAGAGCTTAAACCCAGTACAGTCCAGTTTAGGTGACCTCACCAGGCCCTCGTGCTGGCCCCCACCCGCGAGCTGGCACAGCAGGTAAACCAGTATGGACCAGTATAAACCAGTATGGACCAGTATGGACCAGTACAGACCAGTACAGACCAGTTCAGACCAGTCCAGAGTACCTCACCCAGACCCTTGTGCTGGCCCCCCACCCACGAATTGGCCCAGCAGGTAACCAGTCCGGACCAGTATAAACCAGTACAGACCAGTATGGACCAGTATGGGTCAGTTCAGATCAGTATGGGCCAGTTCAGACCAGCCCAGGGGACCTCACCCACACTCTCGTGCTGGCCCCCACCCGCGAGCTGGCACAGCAGGTAACCAGTATGGACCAGTATAAACCAGTATGGACCAGTATAGAGCTCTATGGTTCAATAGAGAGGCCTAAAAACCAGTATGGATAGGTAAAAACCAGTCCAGGGGACCTCACCCAGGCCTTCGTGCTGGGCCCCACCCCTGAGGTGACCTAGCATCTAAACCAGTTCAGACCAGTATGGACCAGTTCAGACCACTATAGACCAGTCCAGATCAGTATAGACCAGTTCAGACCAGTCCAGGGGACTTTACCCAGACCTTTGTGCTGGGTCCCACCCGTGAGCTGGCCCGGTGGGTAAACCAGTCTAGACCAGTATGGATCTCTACAGGCCAGTACAAACCAGTCCAAGCCAGTATAAGCCACTATAAACCAGTTCAAACCAGTGTCGAGCAGTCTGTGCCACCCCCGCTGTCTGGGCAGGGCGGGGCCTCCCCGTGGCCGCCGATCCCAAATCCGGCGGGGGGAGAGCAAAGAGCTCCCAGTTCATCCCAGTCCGGACCAGTGACCGGCGCTGGTTCATGCCGGGGGCACAGGGCAGGTCCTGGGGGGGGATTGGGGGTCCTGGGAGGATTGGGGGTCCTGGAGGGGTTTTGGGGGTCCTGGGGGTTTTGGGGAGGGTTGGGAATTTTGGGGACCAAATTGGGGTTTTTGGGGGTGGGGGTTTCCGTCATGGTTTCTCTCAAGAATGACGTCACTGATGATTTCACAGATGATGTCACTGATGACATCACAGATCCAGATGGTCTTGATGGCTCTGTGGGGTCTCTCTGGGGGGGGTGTCTCTCTCTGGGTGTTCTTGGGGGTCTCCAGGTGGTTCCAGGAGGGGATTTTTAGGGCCCAAAGTGGGGTTTTGGGGGGGTTTTCCGGGGTGTTTTGGGGGGTTTTTTGGGTCGTTCTCTCCGCTGATGACGTCATTGATGACGTCACAGATCCAGAAGGTGGTGATGGCGCTCGGGGACTACATGGGGGCCTCGTGCCACGCCTGCATCGGCGGCACCAACGTCCGCGCCGAGGTCCAGAAGCTGCAGCTCGAGGCCCCCCACGTGGTGGTCGGGACCCCCGGCAGGGTGTTCGACGCTCAACTGGCGCTACCTCTGTGAGTGACCCCAAATCCGCCAAATTCACCCCAAAATCCACCTCGGGAACCCCCAAAACCCCCAGGAACGCCCCCAGAAACACCCAAAACCGGGTTAAAACCCCCCAGAAACACCCAAAACCGGGTTAAAACCCCCCAAAAATCAGGGCTGGGACCCTCGGCAGGGTGTTCGACGCTCAACCGGCGCTACCTCTGTGAGTCACCCCAAATCCGCCAAATTCACCCCAAAATCGGCCAAATTCACCCCAAAATCCGCCTCGGGAACCCCCAAAACCCCCATTAACAACCCCAGAAACACCCAAAAATGGGTTAAAACCCCCCAAAAATCAGGGCTGGGACCCCCGGCAGGGTGTTCGACGCTCAACCGGCGTTACCTCTGTGAGTGACCCCAAATCTGTCAAATTCACCCCAAAATCTGCCAAATTCACCCCAAAATCCGCCTCGGGAACCCCCAAAACCCCCAGGAATGGCATCAGAAACACACAAAAATGGGTTAAAACCCCCCAAAAATCAGGGCTGGGACCCCCGGCAGGGTGTTCGACGCTCAACCGGCGCTACCTCTGTGAGTGACCCCAAAATCAGGCAAATTCACCCCAAAATCTGCCTCAGGAACCCCCAAAACCTCCAGGAATGGCATCAGAAACCCCCAAAACCGGGTTAAAACCCCCCAAAACATCAGGGCTGGGACCCCCGGCAGGGTGTTCGACGCTCAACTGGCGCTACCTCTGTGAGTGACCCCAAATCCGCCAAATTCACCCCAAAATC